GGGGGGGGGGGGGGGGTTTTCAGATCTTATCTTATCTTATTTTAAAAGATATCTCTTAGTAAATCTTTGAAATGTTTTGTTTTTTATTACTTATCGGAATTGTTCAACTTTTTGAAGAAGTAAAAAAATGGATTTAAGAATTAAATCTTACCAGTCTATGATATGACTGAGGCCGGAATCATCTGAGATGGGAACTCCTGTATTGTGGATATCAAGATCAAGCATTGCTCTCTTATCTTTTTGTAAATCTGCAGATTAATTTAATCTTTATTCAATATCCCGCATGGTAATCACCCAGTCAGGGTAGGGGAAAAATGACCTTCTAATGACCTCTTACGACCTCTAATGACCTAAATGACCTTGTTAGAGGTCAGTAGAACGTCAAACACTGGATTTGTTGCTGCTACTGTATTCCTGGGATTCCTTGCTTTCCTTGATATGCATAAAGCCATAGTTAAAACATTTTCATTTTTGGAGGTCATTTAGGTCATTAGAGGTCGTAAGAGGTCATTAGAAGGTTAAACTGGATCTGTTGCTGCTACTGGATTCCCTGGGTTCCTAGCTTTCGTTTAATATGCATTAAGCCATAGTTGAAATATTTTCTATTTGTTGAGGTCATTAGAGGTCATTAAAGTTTAATTTGATTTTGTTATAGGAATTTCGAACCCTAATTAGGCGTGCATCCAAAAAATTGGAAGATTTGAACCAAAAAATTAAGGCAGGGCCCCCCCCCCCCCTACATCAAATGTGCCAACTCCACCATCCCCTTTATAGTTTTTAATGATCCTTAAAATAAAAGTGTCCGCTGTGGATATCGAGATCTGTGAATCTGGATTATGAGTATCTAACACACAAGTTCCCAGCTCTTATAATCTTTGTCAAAATCGCCAAGTCGTGTTTTTTACTAATTCCAAACATTGGGGTATTTTTTGACACTTTTTTGAAATAGGTGAACACTCCCTTTATTATATATTTAGATATATCATGAACGACTGGGTTGACAACATAGAGAACATTATATCAAAAAGTCAAGGTAAAATATTACAGGGTTACTCACAAAGGATGAGACTGTAAAGACGACCACCTAAAATTATTTAAATATGACGTTTCCCAGGTTGAAATAATTCTTCTGCCTTGAATGTATTAATGGCTAATTTAATGATTTTATAAAAGAAAGAAAGAAGCAAGGAAAATAAAGATGCCATTCAAGCCAAACGTCGTCTTTATATTCTATTACAGTACATATACCCAAAACTCTTTAGAGTGAATGTCGTCTTCATATTCCACGTTTTGTAGGAATCATGAATACAAGGAAACAAACAGTAAAAAGTCCGTAAAGTTGTCTCCAAAGTCTCATCCTTTGTGGGTAACCCTGTATAAAAAGAAAAACCAAATTTGATTTAAATATTGTAATTGTGCTTTCAAAAAATTTTGTAATTATTTCTGTTATTTTTTTAATTCTTATTATGACGAGTATTATTATCATCAATCAATATCATTGTTATCATAATCATGATCGTTGTTCTTGTTATTATCATCATCATCATCATCATCGTCAACTGTTTTTAGTTTCCTGTTCCTGGCTAGTCACATTCTTCCATCAGGAACAGTCCAAGTATCAATAATAAATAAATTAAATGAATTAAGCCGGTAACGTGTGACCAGCAAACTCACTAATAGTTGCCCACACGTTGAACTAAAGTAAAATGCAAGTTAGCTTGAAATTTTATTTTTATTTGTTTTAATCATAACTCCTCTTATTGAAAGGCTATTTAGAGGGAAACAAAAATGTTTTAAATTTCTTTTACGGAACTGGATAAATTTGCTTTACTCAAGCTTACTAGAGGAGCTGTGAGGTCACAAAGACGTACCAGTAGTTGGCATTATTTCGAACATCTCGTTCTGGGCAGTTAGCAGTAGGATTTTCAACGCAAGTGGATTTTACTTGCGCGCAATTGCGAGCCTAGTAAACTTCTAACATTTGCGCGCAATTCCGCACAGTTGTGCACAATTCCTCGTGTTTCTGCGCAACGGAATTGCGATTTGAAACTCTAGTTAGCAGTGCCCACAATGGTAGATAAAGGTTTTTAGGCGGGGGGGGGGGGGGGTTGATATTATAAAAAAACATTTGATTTTGACTTGGTTGGATTGTGCAGGATGGACATAAGTACCTGAAGCCTTATCTTCTAGAGTGCACCACCAGAGATGTTAGGAAAGTTCGCATTTTTCAGTTTTTTTTTTTCATCGAAACAAGGATTTTGGTTTTATTCGGAAAAAAATTGCGGTTTCCAATGTTTCAAGATTGCATGAGTTGATTATTTTTGACGAGGAAAATTTGTATAAATTCCTTTTTTATGTCTAATTTAGATAAATCCTTATAATTTATATTTTCACTAATAAATCTTACAAAGTAAAGGATTATTTTGTTTGTTTTTATTGCGCATTTGTCTTTACAATTAAATATACTTTTTACGTTTGAACGTATGTTTTTTACACTTTAAATTTCTTATGTTCTAAATATTTTTTATGACTACTTTTCATTCGAACAGGGCTGAGATGGAAAATGAAGAATGATATTACAGTTAAAATTATTTATTTCACTGTTAAATTATTTACCAACTTTAACTTGATCAAAAGAACGGTTTTTTAAGGATGTGTTGAGGGGGGAGGGGAGGGGGAGAAAGTTTCTTGGTAAATTTTATTGTTGAGGGTGAAAACAGAGATTTAGTGAGACAAACGAGAACTGCATCTGTAGGAGTCAATTTTCCTGTATTCTTGAGAAATTGTTCTCAAACAGTTATAAACATAAACGTCGAGATCCTTCGTTACAGCAGGTAATTCCCAACAACCCCCACCCCACCACACCCCTACATTTAAAATGCCCTCTTCCTAGCACTGAAAACTGTAGACATTTATGATTATAATTTTGTCAGTTCTACGCTTGAATTCTAACGAGCATTGGATCAATTTAAAATTAGTTATTGACGTTTTACTATAGGATGAAATTGGTTAAAATTATTATTATATCAGGGTCCTGTGCTTGATGTTCTTAAAAATTTTACTTGAAGTTTTACTGACCAAGCTTTGCTTGGATAAAATTGGTTAATATTATTATTATATCAGGGTTCAAGCTTTGCTTCTAAATCTAAACTTTCTCTAAAAAGTAAATACCTACGCAACTGAAAAATGTTAAACCAAGCAGGGAACAATCCCTTGGTTCTAATGAGTTCCAAACTCAACAAATTTGGGACAAATCGGCCAAGGATTTCTGAATTACGCTCGAGACATTTAAACAAACAGAGATTACTACTTTATATACTAGATATCTGACACATACTAGATATGTTTCCTTTGCTAATTTAGAAATTAATTTCCACTTAATGACATAATGGTGGTTAAAGGGCAACGATACCCTTGGAATCTTAATCTGATAAAAATGTGGAAGCTACAGTCATCATTTTTCTGACCCGAAAAGTGCGTATTTCTGCAAGTTTCTCCAATGTCTTGAATACGCAAGAAATGCGCAAGCAAATCACTTTTGCAGAGAAACAGCAAATGAAAATAAACAACTCCAAAACATTAATTTATAATTCATACTTGATCAGACAAAGCTTTCTAGTGCACCGCTGTATATCGGGCATTAACATCTTGAATTTACGCATGCAATTCCTTAAATTGGTTAATATTATTATTTTATCAGGGTCCTGTGGTTGATGTACTTGAATACCTACTAAGCCTGTTAATATTATTATTTTATCAGGGTCCTGTGGTTGATGTACTTGAATACCTACTAAGCCTGTTAATATTATTATTTTATCAGGGTCCTGTGGTTGATGTACTTGAATACCTACTAAGCCTGTTAATATTATTATTTTATCAGGGTCCTGTGGTTGATGTACTTGAATACCTACTAAGCCTGTTGGAGAAGGATGTATCAGACAGTGTTAAATACTCTAGTCAATACTTCTGGGTTCTGTCAATGTAAGTTGATTGATTGATTGATTGATTGATATAACCAATTTTCCTTGTTATTTTGGTATAATGAGAAAGGTTTAATGTTAAAAAAGGCACTGCAGCGCATAATTTGATAAACGGTTGATTTTATAATTCAATAGATTGGTTGGTTGGTTGATTTTATTGGATGATAAGTTGATTGCTCGATAGATAAGTCAGTTGCTTTCAATGATATAGATAAATTTATGGTTCATTGAATGATTGGCATAATTACGGTGCATTATTTGTAAAACGGTTTTTTTATCAATCAATTGATTAGTTGGTTGGTTTTGATTTATTTGATGATTATTAGTTGGATTAATACCAATTACAAATATCATACCATTTACAAGCTATACCAACACTCTTCATCTCGGGTTTGGGGATGGGGAGGAGGGCACCCCGAGATTCTGATTTAATTTGGTTTGGTTTGGTTTGGTTTGGTTTGGTTTGGTTTGGTTGTTCGATAGATCAGTTAAATGCTATTGCTTTCAACGATATAGATTTATTATTGATTCATGGTTCATTGATCCTTTGATTCATTGATTCATTGATTCATTGATTCATTGATTCATTAATTTAGGTATGCCCAGATGGGTTCAGATGCCTGCTCTGATCTCTTTAGCTTAGGAATATTCTCTGCCTGCATCAAGTAAATATAATAGTAATATGTATCTTGTGAGGAAAAATTGAAATAACGGAAACTCTTAAACGAGATAGAATAATCTTGATTCTTTTAGGAATAAATCTATTTAATAAAGCTCTTCGCTCATATATATATATATTTATATATAATCAATTATTCAATCAAAACAAAGGGATTTACATCCTCAAACACTCATCAAGTTGCTCCAATCTATGTTAGCTGGCCAAACGGCTGGACCAAATTGGCTGGAATTTTTCTAGGGAACCCATGGGTACTCGGGGAAAGGCTAAAAACTCGAGCTTTTGGTAGAAATAAAAAATTTAAATTAAATTTTTTTCGAAATTTCTAAGGAAAAAGTTAACTTGACGGGCAACGCCGGGCACTTGAGCTAGTGATTATTATAATTTTAGGTTTTTACTCGGGATAAATCCAGAGGAGGATGGAGAAGATCCGGACAGGAAACGGAAACAGTGGACAGGAAACCAGGTCGGATAAATAAATATTTCTTAAGAATGATCCTGATCTTGATCCTGATCCTGATCCTGATCCTGATCCTGATCTTGATCTTGATCTTGATCTTGATCTTGATCTTGATCTTGATCTTGATGTTTATCAGGTTCGTGAGTTCTCCCACCTACACTCTCTTCTCTCCTTCTTGATCCTATCCTGTGATCTCTCTCCCTTCTCTGATACTAAACCTAAACCTGGCAGCATCAACCCTATTCAGGAAATTAGTGAAATATTAAATACTTAAGAATCGAGAATGAAGGATGAAGGATGATAATTTAATTGTGTAGCATTCTGTCCCGAGACTAAGCTGCTATTGAGACTGATATAAGACTCGAGTCTTGTATGATTGGACTAATTTTCATCATTTCATGTAATGCAAGTTAAACTGCGAATTCTAATTACTTATTTTAGTCAAAAATTTGTAAATTCATTTTGATTTGATTTGATTTGATTTGATTTGATTTGATTTGATTTGATTTGATTTGATTTGATTTGATTTGAGTCTTAACAAACTTAAAAACTCCTACAAGGTCATATTACTAAGTAAATAAATATATTTCATCCCAGAATTATTTTCAACTATAACAACTAAAACCAGCCAAGGGCGGGGTTTGTTCACAATTATATCTTAAAAGTCGGGTTTTAAATTTGAAATTATTAACTCGGGACTAATAATGAGTTTAAATCCGCCATTACCACACCTTAGGTGAGTCCATGAAATTTCACGAAAACACTCACAGGAACGAAGCCGGAAGACTTCGGAACGATCCACGTCGGACCGACATCGATCAGGAACGGATAATTCCGTCAGAGGAAAGGAGCGGTCTGGGCGCCATGAGTCCGGATCGGATCAGGATCGGAGCGGAACTGAAAAGTTCTATGCCCAACTGGAGATGCCAACGCAGGTGTCTGACCTCCTGTATGGAAAGTACACCGAGGATTATATCGCGGAATCGGTCTCGTTACTTCGTGAGAATTCGAATAGTTTAGTTGTTGACATGCTGCTTGGGATCTCTTACTGTAGCAAGGTATAATACAACTTTTACAATAACAAATGTGTGACATTACAAAAGAGAATTGTTGAATATTTTAAGCGTCATGTGCTTAGCAACGCTACCCTTTAGCCTTGAGTAAAAATGACCTATGAGAAAAATTTTGTCGTTTTTCATGGCGAAAGATATAATTTTTCTCAATTTCCGTTAATTTCTGTGTCGCATGAACCCACTTGTAACTTTTACAGACACCTGCAATTGAATTGAATATTATCAATTTATGGTAAGGAAATCATAACTGGTATTCAGCTTGAAATTCTGTCAGCAGAGTCGCTTGAAATTAAACTATTTTAGAGTGTATCTGATATTGTGGTTGGTGAGGTACTGAAGCAGTATACTGCTGCCCACGCTAATCTTCTCAAGCATCTCTCCCATCTACTTGTAGAGATTCTCTGTATTTCCGATCCTCTACAGTCTGACCGGCTCCAGCTAGCTATCTACAGTGACAAGGGTCTCCTAGATCTGGTTCAGGCTTGTCAGAAAACAGATTCATCTAGAGCTTATCAGGTTCAAAAAATATCTCTCTCTTTTTTAATTATTTTGAGAAAAAATACGTTTAAATTGATTAATTTTCTTAAGTTTTAAAGGGTCTTTTATCCATGAAAAGTTATTGAACTTTTTCTAGGAAATAGAAATATTTGTCTTTTTATTGTGTCTCTTTTTGGATGCTTTTCCTCGCAAAATTATTATTTTCCCAGAAAGCTGAAATTGAACTCGAAAAGAGTTCTCTTTTAAAGATAATATAGAGTGCCAGTGTAACACGAGAGACACCCCTATGAAACTCACGTATTTCAGGCAATTAAAGTATTGGTGAGTGCTTCGAGTAAACATCAAGCTGTAAAAGATCATCTCTTTAATGAGCCTGCCAGGTGCGTTTGTTTTTTAAATTGATAAATCGTTAAAAGTAAAAGTTTTGCATTATCCTACTAAGTTTTTTTCTGTCTCAGCTTAAAAAAAAATTTAATTTTTAAAAGTGAACAGTAAACAATAACATGCTAAGAAAGCCTGATTTTGATTCTTATTCTTTTTCTTATTCTTAGTTTTGTTCTTGTTCTTGTTCTTGTTCTTGTTCTTGTTCTTGTTCTTGTTCTTGTTCTTGTTTTTGATATTGTTCTTGTTCTTGTTCTTGTTCTTGTTCTTGTTCTTGTTCTTGTTCCGATGCCGATGTTGATGCTAATTAATATGCTAATGCTGAGGCTGATTATAATGCTTGTGCTGATACTGATTATGATGCTGATTCTTGTTCTTGTTCTCATTCTTATTCTTAATATTCCGATACCGATGCCAATGTTGGCTCTGGTTCTGGTGCTGATGGTGATTGGTGATTCTTGTTCTCATACCTCATTTTCATTATTGTTCTTATTCATAATATTCTTATTCCGATTCCGATTTCGATTCCGATTCCGATTCCGATTATAATTCTAATTGCTAGATGGCAGTGGGCTGTGAACTGGTTGAAAACTAAGATGGAATCTGAAACCTGGTCTAATCTGGATTCTAAAGAAGAGAGTAACGAGGGGTCAGCTAACAGAACCTTTCACAGGTAGAAAACCAGTTTTGGTTTAAAGAGACCATGTAAATTCAAGTGACTCTCCCTATCCACCATTTTGCAAAATATTATCGTAAAATTTGATTAGAATACGAATGTTTTACCAATAATGTAAATTTTTGGAAAAGGTTTTAAAAAAATACTTTTTTATCTTCAGCGGTTGTACTTATTTGCTTAAGTAATAAAGCGGGAAGGTGTCGTTGTTTTTATGCCTTTTTTGGTGGGTCACTTGAAATTGTGTCTGCAGTTCCTTGTAACCCTAATAGGGGTAATCTCCAAATAACGTACTCTGACGGTTAAATTTAAGACGTTACACCAGCCACCCCTTTCTAAAATCATTTCCTAACCCGTTACGGATAAACTTCATCTCTTCAATTTATAAATTATATACTGTGGTTTTAGTGTTCAGTCGATAGGGCGGAGCTCTAAAGCAACCTTAAATCTTTTATTGAAACTTTGGTTGTATTATTTAGAACTACTTCTGCTCAAGTAACTCTCGAGGAAGCTAACGCAATGCTGGCTGAGTTTGATACTGATATCGTTATGGAGGATGGGGATGATACAGGTAGGGGAAATATCATTTTTTTTGTTTTTTTTTTAATTTGCCATTTTTGTCTAAATTCTTAAATAATAATTATTTACTAAAACTTCACAGAGAAGTTACGGGAATTTTACTTTAAGTAAGAAAAAGTAGTTTTACACAAGTTTATCGTCTTTTGAAATGAAAATGCGCGATTTATTTAGCCGAAAACTTCAGAGAGTCGGTGGTTATTTAATTAATCGTCACGAACGTTAGGTAACTTAACGTTCTACAATGAACGTTAGGTAACTTAACGTTCTACAATGAACGTTAGGTATCTTAACGTTCCACAAGGAAAGTTAGGAAACTTAACGTTCCGCAACGAACGTTAGGTAACTTAACGTTCCACAAGGAACGTTAGGAAACTTAACGTTCCTCTGTCGGAAATGTTGGTCAAAAGGCGGTAAAATACTGACTACTTAGTCATTTATATTCAGTTTAGTTTTATAAAGCACTTCAAAACTCAGCCATTAAACATTTTTTTATGAAGTTTTAAAGAATGTTTTATTGGAATCGAAGTTGTAACCCTGAGTAACTCGACGGCCTTATAGTTAGACAGTTATATCTTATAAGTTTATTTAACACCTGCAATTGTAAATCTTTCATAATTTTTTTTTACTTTTTTGTTTTAATATGCATACAATGCTTTAAATATTTGAAATATTTAGAGTAACGCACGCTTTTATTAATAAGATAATAAAACGCTATTCGTTTCTGAAAGGTGTCCACAAAAAACCTTAGTTGTAGCTATGGCCCAAGTTTTGGACCAATATTGACTAATTTGGACATTTTTACATATACAGCGATAACCAGAAAACTCTGAAATCGGAAGACGACCTAATTGCAATACTTAAGGTTGTTTGATGTTGGTACAAAGCAAATAGTTTTACTAGACACTTCTTAAATGACTAATTAAGGGAAATTGGCCTGTTAACGCTGCACAATTGCTGTTTCCCCATACTCAATGAACTAATTCAAATCCTAACTTACGTCTATAAGTCGTCTTCCTATTCCAGAGTTGTCACTGCACTAAACATTTATGAACGAATAGTGTAGATTAAAGCCTTCAATCATTATTAAACATAAATTGATTTCAAAGACGTTTTAAAAATATTCTATAGAAAAAAAACGTTTAAGAATGAGAGGAATGCTTAAAATACGCAAACTGGGTAGAGGAAAATAGGGGATGCGTAGTAGACTTGGGATAAAGAATCCGAAAGTGGTGACTGGTTAGACCACAGTTTTCATTAGATGAGAAAAGTTGCCTTGTTCAGTAATACCAATTCCACAAAAAGAATTTGGATAAAAACAGAGTCATGATGGCTAATACGTTTTTTGGGACACCTTATATCTGTACTTAAGTGACCGCGGCTATTGAAAGATTGCCATGCCGGATTCACACCAATCAACAGATTTTTTTAATTGCAAAAAGAGATTGTCGTCGTAGTTTTAAGTACCCTCCATTCAAAGGGAGTTGTCGCGTCCGATTCACAATTTTCTTTTGAAGCTAGAAAAGCAACGTTATCGTCCACTTAAAGGATTAATATTTTAAAGGGATCCCCCTTTTTAAACGAAGAGCTACCTAGAATATACTTGAGGCGGACTCGTTGATTTATACAAAAATATTATTTTAGATAAGAAGACTGAGATGAATCTAGACGAGAATGAAATCTCCTCAACCTCCTTCAAATCAAAACCTTGAGATTTAATCCGATTCTTAATACGCAATTTTAATGTTTTTGATACTTAATCCATAGATGGGTTGATTTAAGTCTATGCACACCAGTAAAGATTGTATATTGCAGTGATAACCAATATAAAACGTAATGATTGTCGACCTCGTTATTTCTTTAAATGAAAAGCGCAACTAAGGCTTCATTGTTTGTAGGTGTTATATCTCTTTTCAACATGCCTAGCGGTATTCCTTACTAAAAGATAGAAATCTGAAGACAATCATTCCGCTATAGAGTGTTAAGCATTGTACACTTACAGTGTACAGGCGTATAGTGTAAGGTGTACACTGTACAAGTGTAAACTGTACAACACCAGTGCCAAGCTTCCAAGGCTGAATCTGAAAAAATGAAATTATTTGTTATTTTTCTGATTTTATCCGGTACGGAAGTAGCTGAACTCTGTATGGCTAATTCAACTACTTCATGTTTCATCAATCATGCTCTCAACTCCATTATTAACTGAACCAATTCTAAATTATGTTTCTACCAGTAGTGACTTACGGCTAAATTATTTAGTTAATGTTAATTTAATAAACGCAGTGAGGACAACAGAGACAATGGTTGGTATAAGGTTGCTACTTTTCCTGATTTCATACTTTAAAAAGTACTCCTTGACCTCTTTTAATTTAGCACACTGTTAGCAAAATCTCTAACATTTTGCTAGTTATATCGAACTTATCGAAAACTTTTTGTTCAAAATTATGGATGAAATTGTTTCGATATTTTGATATTGCGAATATGGTTTTTATAGTTAAGGGGCGTATTCAGGAATATGTCCAGGGCGCTTACATTTATTTTTATTTATTAGGGAAAGGGGTACTTAGGCCCTGTTGGGGCCTGAAACCATAGATTTCACTGGTCGAAGGGGGATGAGCCCCTTTAGCACCCCCCCCCCCTTTAACCAAAGCAGAGGGGGGGGGGGGTTTGTACTTAATTAGGTTCTGATAAACAAACTTTATCAACTTTATCAGCATTGGCTTCATATATATTGTCCTTTCTGCGTTAAACCATTCCATATTGATCACATGATATTATTTGTTCCAGTTTACAGTGAAAATATTCAATTCAAATAATAATATTGATGTAAAAAATCTAGTTTTTTAAACAAATTAAATGATGAATTAGATTGTGTCAAATATTAATATACAGACCCTGCCATTTTATACTCGTCAATTTTATGATTAAAAGCACTGTAAACTTAATTATGAGTGACCCTCCGTGCAAAAATGACAATGCCCGATTCACAATGGTACCCTTGAAAATTTTATCTTATCATTAATGTGAAAGATATTTTCGTTTTCTTAGGTTCAAATGTCTTTTTTCCTACAAGTTATTCTAAACAGGGTTACCCACAAAGGATGAGACTGTAAAGACGACCCAAATGTCTAAAATTATAACGATTTAAAGCTTAAATTTTGGTTTCTACATTCAATTGAGTATGTTGATGGTTTTGTGGAGAAGCCAAAACTAAAACAATCAGTTTTCTAAATTATAAACATTGATATCTAATCAGAGCTGAAAACTTTAGAATGGTGGATGATATCAGGATTAAGGCTTAATCCACTCTTTTTCTTAATCTCGAGATTAAATATTGCTTGGAAAACTCATGACTTTAATCTTCAGATTAATTATTCGACGGGATATCTGGATATTTCATTCTAAAGTTTTCAGCTCAGATGTAAATAGGGCATTGTCATCTTTGCATAGAGGGGTCACATGTAATCACGCGTAAAGTTCCTTTAAAGAAATTTTGAGATTTTACACTTATCACTGCCAAAAAAAATTATTTTTTACGCTCGACTTAATACATTAGATCAATTCTTGATTTGCGATATTTCAAACCAACCTAAGCCAAATATCCTGAAATTGATCTACTTTTTGAAAAAAACTTTGATTTTTATCTAAGACGCATGGTAAGAATGTAACTTACATTTTTAATAGATTTTTTAAAAATTCTTGAATAAAACGTTGTGAAATAGATTTTTTAATATTTATTTTCTAATCCTCCAGACCCGTGCCCTTGCCGGTGCAAACTCGGGTTTTTGCTCAGATAAATTACTAATCATTTAATCAATGTATATGTAAAGATAAAAACGGATATTTAGTTGTCTTTATAACTAAACTTTTTATTTGCCGCTGTATAAGTTTGAATTCTACAGGGTTACCCAGAAAGAATGAGACTTTTCAGAATGAATGTTGTCTGTTTTTCTTTTTCTTTATATTCCCTGCAACTGCAAACTTCTTTCTTTCTTTGCCATATCATTTTAAGAACACATACTAGAAACAAAACTTCATTTATAATTGAAATCGCCATATTTAAAGATTTTCAAGTCGTCTTTACATTCTCATCCTTTGTGGGTATTCCTGTACTTTTACGAGAATCTTAGTAATTTATTTTCAAACATCAAACTGATTTTATGGGGCAAATCTATAAAATAGATTTTTCTAAGTTGCTTTTCTTCAGTTGATTAAAGATATTTTATTGTGTATGCGCACAGATGAATACAATTACTTGCACACTTATTATGATTGCGCACTTATAGCACTCTTTGTTTAAAAATGATTTACTGGGACTGTTAAGAAAAAATGAAAAGGGGTATAGACTGAAACCTAAGCATTTTAAAAGTAGATTGAGACCTATAAGAGTTCTGTCTGATGTTCCTGGCTCGATAAACTGATATAAAACGGTGTCAAATTTATACGAAAATTTACATTCAGGGTGTCCCAAAAAACATCGTCTTTTCAAATAATTCTTCGATTTAGTATAGTGATACCTACTGAGAAAGCTGTAATCTGTAAGAGTTTCGTCTGCTATGTTTACATTTTGTTTGTTTATGTTTTGACTGCAACCGGTTGTACTTAGTAAAACAAGAAAATTACAGTATACAAACAGAGTAAACTTGTCCGTATTCACTGTTCATCTTGCGGAGACATTNGGTTTAAACAGATTATATTCAGCAAATACGCAACCTATCTGAAAACGATGATGTCCAAGAGTAGCCTGAGGAACATAGGTTTAAACAGATTATATTCAGCAAATACGCAACCTATCTGAAAACAATGATGTCCAAGAGTAGCCTGAGGAACATAGGTTTGCTCCTATTTTTATTATTTTTATTTGAATTTAATTATTTTTAATTTTAAATATCATTATGAAAGTGCACTTTACTCTATAATAACCCCTTTTAGAAAGAAAAAAGTATGGAGCATGCATTAATGTTTTTATCCTAGCAACTACTCTCTGTCCACAGAGAGTAGTTGCTAGGAATAAGAATATTTTACAGAAATTGTTTTCAGTCGTGAAATAATACCGTTGCCGAGAGCTTCAAAATAAAAAAACATGAACTGCAGAACTGTTATCAAATTATTGTCCATCGTGTTGTACACTCTCGTAATAGTAATTGTGCCTGAAATGCCCAGCATCTATACCTTCCTTATTAACTGCATAGGATTCAGCGTATCATTGTCTGCGTCTGTATTGCTGATATACTTCCTCAGCACCCGGTCCCCAGTGCAGAAGAATGTTTTGAACAGAATTCTTGTGCTGTTTGCAATTGCCATCATCATAGGATGCACTCGCTGCTTTGCAATATCCACAGCTGCATGTTTCTGGCAAGAACAGATGAAGGTCATTATGGAAGAGAATCCGACATTGATCTCTGTCCTTTCTCACAGATACTTTGTCATATTTGGTGCTAGTCTACTGTGTGCTATGTCAGCTGGAAGGTTACTGTTGATGACCAACCCTGTAGTTTTCCATGGTATCAATCCAACAACTGGAGCTGTGGTACTTTGCTTTGTAACAGTTATAATTTGTGTACTAGACTTCACATACGGCTGGATCTTATGCTTTGGAAGTTCCTCTACAAAAATTATAATGACTAACTTTGAGAAAGAAATTGGGATCTGGAAGGAAGATGTACAAAACCAAACCACGCTTGCTGAAGATTGGACTCAAAATGATTATTGCATCCAACTACCTACCCTTATAGTCATACTATTGTTAACCTTGGTACTAGAGTTCTTCAAGTTTGTGTTTGTGTTTCTTAAAGAGATAAGAAAGTTAAAGAAAACTAAGACAGATACTGTACGGTCCAAGGTGGATCAACCTATCCATCAATCTGTCCCTGTATCCCAGAAAGATGAGGCTACAGGGAGACAAAACAGCAATAAATGTTTGAAATCTCTTCCCACGGACTGCAGTTCAAATCTAAAATCAGAATCCAGAAAGCTGTCTATTCTTTCGATTGAAGTCATTGATCTAGAAACCGCTGCACCTACTCCAAAAACAGTAGAACTATATTCTGCTGACGCTTTTTCAAACCTAACATTAGACTACAGAAAGCAATCCCTTCCTGTGATGGAAGTCATTGATCTAAAAACCACTGCTCCTACACAGAACCTGAAATTAGACGCCAGAAAGCAATCTCCACTGACTATTAAAATCATTGACCTAAAAACCAATGCCCCTTCTCCAAATGAAGAAGCAGGAAAATTCCTTCCATCTGTTACTTGTTCAAAGCTGAAATCAAACTCAAGAAAGCAATTTCTACCGGCACTTGAAGTCATTGACCTTAAAACCAATGCCCCTTCTCCAAATGAAGAAGCAGGAGAATTCCTTCCATCTGTTGCTTGTTCAAAGCTGAAATCAAACTCAAGAAAGAAATTTCTTCCAGCGCTTGAAGTCATTGACCTAGAAACCAATGCCTCTTCTTCAAACCTTGAATTAGATCCCAGAAAGCAATCTCCACTGACTATTAAAGTCATAGACCTGGAATCCAATGCCACTACTCCAAATGTAGAAATATTAAGAGTAGAAGAATCCCTTCCATCTGTTACTTGTTCAACCCTGAAATCAAGCTCCAGAAAGCAATTTCTGCCGGCACTTGAAGTCATTGATGTAGAAACAATTGCCCCAACTTTAAATGAAGAAATACCAAAAAACAGAGAAGCACTTTGTACCACTATTGAGATGGGTAAAATCTCAGACCTAGGAACAGATATCTGGAAAAAGTTTGGACTAAGATCTTCTAGTTTTGTCACAGTTTTTCTTTTTATAGGATTTTTCATTGTCATTTTTTCCCGAGATTCTTATTCGTCATTCAGAAATACCAGCCAAATTGTCTTACTTAGGTTTACTGCTTATGTTTTGGTGGTTTTTCTAGTTTCTGTTGATAAAGATATTGGTATTTTTCTTATTGAAATATTACAAAGGAATTGAGTCTTTACCACAATCTGATTTTTAAATCCTTTTATTTATGCAATACAATGTTGTAAACCTTAGATATTTCAGTATATGAATTCTTTTAGAAGTTTGAAATATGAATGGTTTACATAACCTGTTGTGAAGATATGGATTAGAAAATTCGAGCTTGTGGCAAAGACTCAATTTCTTTAAGATTTCAACCAATGTTCAAAATAGTTTTTAAAACTTTTTAACAGATTTATATTTATTTTAGTGTGAAATATATATTGATTATTTTGAATTTTGATTTTGTTCATATACGCTAATTCCTTTACTATTTGTATAGGCCATCAACCCTAACGAGAGCGTACTGGATATTTGTTTATTATACTTTTGCTGAATCAATATGTATTTATACGTTCAATTAATGCATTCCTGAAAATGTTTTGATTATTTGAGTGCTGACTAAGTATTTACTTGTAAATACACTATGAATGTATATTCAGTTTAACCAAATACCGATTATGGAATAAAATTATTAAACATCATATTTTCAATTGGTTAAAAATAAATTTTCTTTCGTGTTTTATTTTAAGCTGAACCATCATACATTATTATTTTGTATTTTGTGTTCGAAAATAAATACTATAACTCACTAGAGTACAAAGTTATAATGCAAGGCAAGTTAATTGCAGTTGCGTATACTCTGCGGACATATTGAAACCAGTTCTCTCTGGGCGGAATTTGTAAACAAGAATAGATGCATTAGTGTTTGTTTAGTATCCGAGGAGGTTTAAAGCATTAAATTTTGATAATTTTAATAATTCACATAATAGTTTCATAGGACAAGAATATTTCATTGATTTTTTTATGTGAAAGAGGGATCCCATGTCAGGCTTCGACATCCGTCTTGTGTTTATATTACCGCTCAGAGACAGTACACTGCAGTACAAAAGATGCGTACACCACTGAAATAACTTTCCTTGCATTGAAACCTTGCTTTATTATATCAGTATTAGTAAACAGTTGTAAGTGTACACTGTACAGTGCAGCTAACCTAACAAAATGTGTTTTTTTTCAACAGGAATAAAGGGAAAAATAAACGTAAGCTGTTAAGTAATTTCATGCTCTATTTCAGACATCCATGAAGCTAAATCATTTAACTCTTAAAAATATTAAAATATGGCTGTGCCCCCCCCTTAAACCCCCCTTTTGGAAAAAAATATTGATACCTTTTTTAACTATGTAAACTTAAATTTATGGTTGTCAGTAGAAAATATTTGTTTTTTATCATGATGTACTGCTTGATTACGTAGGATTTAAACCATATCGTAATTGAAGATTAAAACTTTTTTAACTCCAATTATTTTCTGTATTTGCTGAATACTTTCTTTAAAAGAAACTATAATCTAGTATTATTTTCTGTATTTGCTTAATACTTTCATTAAAAGAAACTATAATCTAGTGTTATTTTTAGCCTTAATGGTTAAAATTCTCGTTTCATGAATTGTTAAAGTTTTTAACTTTTTTTGATAAATATTGCCTTAGTTAAAACACAAGTCAATGCATCCTTTTTTTAAATATTTGAATCCTAATTATCAAAAAATTAAGTTATGGCCTATTATGGGCTATCAAACATATACGGACTGTCATGTTCCTTTTATCTAATTTTTAAAAGATATTTTTTAAATCCTCAAAACTCGTACTTTGTCACAAAATGTGCTCTTTTTCATTTTATAATGTAAAATCATGCGTTATATCTTGAAAAATTCTAGAATATTTTTAGACAAAAAGAAAAAAAGATTGTTTTTCAACCGTTCAAAAAAAGTTTGATTTCGTTCGTTCTTAAAATTATTGTTCTTTATCAATCTATTTCGTTCTCACTGAACGAACGAACGAAGTCAATTTTTTTGAAAACAACAAATGAAATGGGTGGTTCACAAACGACGAACTCGCCCATCTCTATAAGCATGCAGGGTCACTTGAATTATGCTTACAGTCCCTTTAGAAGTATATTGAAATATGAAACAAAATGAAATTCTTTAATTTCAAATCTTCTTATGGGGGGGGGGGGGCTGTCTCCCTTGGATAAGTTCTCTGAGGATGATAAGAGTGATGTATCGTTATCTTATAAATTGTTTATTTATTTTAAACTTATCTGTAAACTGTACAGATTTACTTAACAAAGTTGTAAAAAAGGATGAAAAAAAATTTTAAATCTGATTTTAAAATCTTCTACTTTCAAATAATTTCAAACTTGAACTTTTTACTGAGATTAGATTGTTGAAATTATATTTACTTTTTTATGATATATTTTGTTATCTCTCTTTAAATTTGTTGTCACAATTTTCACTTGTCGTTCTGTGAGAACCGAGATACATTCTACAAATTCTAGTACAGTACAGTACAGCACAGAACTGAGATACATTCTACAAATTCTAAAGAAATTTTCTTTCCTGCTTTTAGGTCAGAGTCTTATTTACACAACAAAGCTATGTATTTAATGATTTTTCAAGATTTAAAATCTTTAAAATTAGTTATTTAAAAGTATAGTTCATTAGGGTAAGGCCGATTAAAACTTCAAGTCTAGAAATGCTAAATAATTAATGCATAATTTTCATACTAAATTTTAACAAAAACAGTTTACTTAATATTCAGAGATTTTTATAAAAAAAACTGTTATCCCCGTATGTCTTAATCACACAAAAAAAAGAAAAAATGTTCACAAAAAAATTCTTTTGTAAAGTACAGTGATGAACAGAAAACTCTGAAAGAAGAAGACAAATTTTACAATTAGAACTTTAAAAATCGAATGAGCATGAGTCACTTAATTAGTGATTTTTAGTAAAAAATATTTGCTTTGTAACAGCATCAAATACACTTAAGTATTGCTGTAATGTAATTTTTCTATTCCATTGTTATCTAAACAACAAATAAAACTATATTATGATAATATTTATTTTTAATTTTTGTTTGTTTGTTTTAGAACATTTGTTAAACTAAAAACGCAAAATTTCTTTTTATTTTAATATCAATACCAAAGTTTAGAACAAACGACGACAAAAAAAATTGGCTTATAAAACTCTTTCACTTTATAAGTAGATATTTATTGATCTTAATTTAGCTTTGGGGATTGGAGGCGTTCATCATGTGGATTTTGTCAGGAAAATGGATGATGAAAAAAAACGGTTGATTTATTTGAAAACTAAAATAATTTACGAATATCATTTGAAAATATAAAATTATGTATTTCCGACAATTTCAAATTTTGCTTGAAAGAATTGCTTTCTTGCCATTTTTCTCTCAAATATATTACTCTCAAATATTTTTCTCTCAAATATATTACTCTCAAATATATTACTCTCAAATATTTTACTCTCAAATATATTACTCTCAAATATATTACTCTCAAATATATTACTCTCAAATATATTACTCTCAAATATAGCCAAATCTTTGAGGATTTTCAGAAATACTTTCCACACCTTTCTAGATACAGGGTGTTCCACGAAACATGGCAGTTGCAACTTGAAAGATGATTAGCGTCTCTGATCTTTTAGTTATTTGCAACATTCATCTGTTAACTTATTTTTACATGTCTGTTTCATGATACAATAATCACAAAGTTCCCCTAGTTTAATTTTAACATAAATCCAAAATGTGGTCTGCCTTTTTTTGTGCTTTTAATGTTAAGATTGATATTAATTTAATAAAAAAAAACAAGATTGTCGAAATCTGAACGAAATTATATAATGGTAAGAATATATTTTGAAAATCCAAGGACTAGAAGTAATTTGTCGATATCAATTTTAAAAAAGAATTTCATACGCAAAATATTTTTATTCCATTGTAGGAAATTTGTCTAAAAAGCACAACTATACCCTGCGTAATATTTAGCGTAGTTATACGCAAAATTTGTAATACTCTCCTGATAAAATAACAAAGGATAATGTTCGCACATCGATGCGTTTTATTGTGGCGTACGACAATATATTGCGAATAGGTTTTCCGATCGGAATTCCGTTGCACACAATTGCGCGGAATTGCGCGCAATGGTTGCTTCCGCTTGCGCCATTTCATTGCGCGCAATTGCGTTATAATTGCGAAAAAAGGAAGCAATTAAATATTCGCGGAATTGCGTTGAATTGCGAGAAATTGCGCGGAATTGCGTGCATCGAAATTGGTTTAATAACTATAAATCATTAATTTTAAATGTTATACTTACAAATCTATACAGCAGATACAAGAATGGAATTAAATATCTCTGTTGATTTAAAAATAATCGAGGCCATGGAGTGTCACTAGTTTCAATAGTTTTCAAATTTTAAAGTTTCTTGTGGTTAAGCTGCTAATTAACATTTTAATATGATACATTTTTCATTTGTTCACATTGGATGAACATTAAAATGGAAATTTTTTTTGGTTAAAATTGTAAGGTTCGTTTTATCAAAATTAGATATTTTGCTACAGTGAGAACCAGAAAACTATGGAACAGAAAGACAACATCACAGTGTATTTAATATTATAGTTACAAGTCGAACAAAATTACTTAGTAACTTATTAAATCACGTATCCAGTTACATGGGTCTGCTTGAGTATAAACTGTCGTCTTCCTATGCCAGGTTTTCTGGTTATCATGCTGCACATGAAAATTATAAAACAAAAGATTAAGTTTAATTCAATTTTCTTAGCATTTGAGATTGAAATATTAGTGAAGTTCAGTTTATTGTTGCCTTCCAAGGTTTAAATTGAATATTTTGTTGTTGAAAGGAATTGCGCAATAATTAATTGCATTTCTTGCGTGCCATATGGTTTAAATTGAATTTTATAAAAAAATTGAAACACAACGCAAGAAATTTGGACGGAATTGCGCGCTATAGCGCGCAATTAAATTCACCTGCGCGCAAGGGCTCGCAATTGCGCGCAAGTAAAATTCAATTGCGTTGGAAACCCTAATTGCGAATGAAAACTCTACTTTTAAAATGAAGGTTAGGAACGAATGCGGCAAATAATTTCAAATATCAAAGACGACTTTAAAGAAATTCTCGAAAGTCATATTTCGTGGGTCACCCTGTATAATTAAGAACTCAATTATATGATTTCAAATTGAATCCAATTGTATCTTAGTTTCTTAAGTTTCATAAATAAAGTCATCATTCACAAATCCTCCATGAGGTGTAGGCCTAATGTCGTTGGTTTGTTTAAAGCTTGTTGCGGGACAAGAAGGACCAATTGTGGAAACAGCTGACGGTGCAGTCCTCGGTAGGACGCGGATATCTCAGGTAAATCCAATATAGAAACCAAATTTGAAACTAATCAATTTTAAAAGCAAAAAGAAAAAATATCTCATATATTCTTGACAAGATAAAAATTATTCTTGATAAGAAAAATTAATGGTGGGTCACTTGATGCAAAACTGTTTAACAATCACAAATCAAGTGAGATCAAGGGGACTTATCGCGAAAAATTAAAAGAGGGTATAGGCTTACGTCGAAAAGCATTCGATGGTGATTTCTACTGATTTCAACTCTATCTATTGCAGATGTTACAACCATAAAAGTTTTATATTTTCGACGCATTCGTATAATATTCTTTATTTTATATGATCCGAGAGTAACTTTTGAATACATTCATTCCTGTTTGGAGTTTTTTTTATAATGAAGACGACATTTCATATTTTCCAGGAATGTTCGAAAATCCAGCGCCATCCGTGAAAACAAGTTATAAGCGAAATATTAATTTAAAAATCAATGATCATAGGCTGTAATATCTGAATGATTTGTTTGAAATTAAATTGATTTTTTACGATCCAAGTCGAATATTGAATTTTTCTGAATTTGTATGATGAACGCTATAGTTCTTCGGGAGTAGTCGTTTATAACAATTTTCTCAACATATAAACGCAACAGATAGAAGTAAGATTAGCAGTAATCCCCATCCAATGTTTCCTGATCCCCTCTCATTTTTAGCGAACACTCCCTTTAATGAAGACCTTAAATGTAGAAAATAAGTCCTAATAAATTCTGTACAGTCGTCTTTGAAGTCCCATTCTTAATGGTATAACTGTATATTCCCAGATGGGAAACGAATACTCTTCGTTTGAAAGAATTCCTTTTGCTTCTCCTCCAATTGGAACTCTTCGGTTTGGTTCTCCTCAACCAAATAAACCATGGGAAGGTAAAATTTAATTATTTTATGAACAATTAAAACTGACAGAGCTTATTAAAAAACCTTGTTGCCAGAAAATTTTATTCATTGTTTCCTTATTTGCATAAAAAAATTGTTTTCTTTTGATATTTTATACTTTTTCTTTTACATATATTTCAGATTTTTTTTCTTCAAATTTTCCTCTGATTTCTAACATTTTCTAGTTTTTAAAAATATTTTTAAAGAAACTGAGTTTTGTGACAAATTCTGGTTTTCCAATCCATTTATCTTTGAAACCTAAAGTCTTGGACATTTGATATTTAAACTTTAAATTCTGTTAGATCAAATGATCTAAAAAACTGCAAATATATGTGATATTATAAGATTTAAGTTTTTGGAAAAAACACAATTTCTTTATTGAAGGTATTCTTGATGGTTCTGTGAGTAGTACAACTAAGTGTATACAGTATGGATATATTTCGGATGGAGAGGGCAATAAAGTTTCAGGATCAGAGGTAAAAAAAAGTTTAAGGATCAGAGGTAAAATAAAGTTTTAGGATCAGAGGTAAAATATAGTTTCAGGATCAGAGGTAAAATATAGTTTCAGGATCAGAGGTAAAATAAAGTTTCAGGATCAGAGGTAAAATAAAGTTAAAGAATTAGAGTAAAATAAAATAGAAATTATAGAAATATCTTTTCGTAAATGAACACTTTTTTCTTTTAAAAAGTTTTTAACAATTAATTTTTAACGTTTTTATAAAAGATTAATACAAATTTGAAAAAAATGATTTTAATAGAATTGTATGATTTAACAGTTAAGACATGGTTTATTGTTCAATGTTTCTTCTTTAAAGATATCTATCTCTTTTAAAACGTTGTAACCCAATGTCGTAGATATGTTAAACTAATGTTAGTTCAAATTATCTAAGTTTAAAATATCAAAGCTATATGTATTAGAAAATTAGAATCGGTTTCTTTACATAGTTTATTTCATATTTCATTTTATATTTTTCTATTTTTATTTAACTACAAAGCACGAGATAATACAGATAAAAAATCACAATTTACTATGTAGTTTGGACCCGCCTAACCAGAGTTGTTTTTTTTGATTTTGTGTATAGAATATTATATACAGTGAAACCCTTAATAACGAATACATCGAAAGAATTCATCAAATGTCGTCTTGACAGTTTTTCAATGAGTTTTATACTATATTACGTAAATTTCAGTATTTGCGAAAATAGATAAATAGCCATGAATATGCGGGAACAGTTTTAAAGGGCTCCATATAATTATTTAACTAAAAACTAAATATCTGCAACATTCCGTTATCAGAAAGTGAAGAATACGACATTTGATGAATTCTTTCGATGTATTCGCTATTAAGGGTTTCACTGTAGTTTTCAGATAATTTTATAAAAGAAATTTTTTTCAGGATTGCCTTTATTTGAACGTTTACGCTCCAAAACAGATGTAAGTAATTTCTACAATACAGAGGTCGGTCTTTACTTTCAATGACAACTTTCTGTTCAAGATTTTATTTCTGACGAGCNGGGGGGGGGGGGAGGAGCCTGCTAAGTAGTTACCAATCCCTTACTCAGCAATTATACAACATAGAAACGTCTTTTTAGTATCAAATAAGTTCTGCATTTTTTCTCATATAATACTTTACTCTCAGCTCAACTACCATGTCTAGCCAGTCTCTCCCTTTAATGTAAGGATTAGAAAATATGCCATGGTCCATGACACAGGCCAGGGAACATTTTTTTCAGAAGCAAAGAGCCTAAAGCAGTGATGATGTGGATCTATGGAGGCTCGTTAACTGCAGGGAGTAATCAGTTTAATGAATATGGATCAATCAGATGGATGGATCAAGGTCAGTTTAATGAATATGGATCAATCAGATGGATGGATCAAGGTTAGTTTAATGAATATGGATCAATCAGATATATGGATTAAGGTTAGTTTAATGAATATGGATCAATCAGATGGATGGATCAAGGTTAGTTTAATGAATATGGATGGATGGATCAAGGTTAGTTTAATGAATATGGATCTATCAGATGGATGGATCAAGGTTAGTTTAATGAATATGGATCAATTAGATAGATGGACCATGGTTAGTTTAATTAATTTGGATAATTCAAATGGATGGATCAAAGTTAACTTCAACATTATTATTAGGGTAGGCATAACTTTTGGTTTGCTATTGAAAATTGAAAGTGAAACTAGTTTTGCTTCTATTACATTATTATTTATGCTAAATTTTTTCTCTTCCAGAAGACTTTACCCAAGATTATTTATCCAATATTATACCAATAACTTTTAAGTTTTGGTTTTTGGCCAAGTTATAAATGGAAATGGGCGCCTTTGAACTTTCATCGTTCGTTAACGACCCATTTCATTCATTTTTTTTCAGTCATTCAGTTAAAATTTGAATTCGTTCATTTTTTAGAATTTTCGTTCATTTTCCATTTATGTATTTTTTTCGTTTCATAACAATCGTTTAGTTAAGTCATTTGTTCGGTAAAATCCCTTGTTCAATTTTCATTAAGTAAAAACTATCTTAGTTGTTACAAATTTTGTTCGAAAAACTTGTTCGTTCATTAAAAAAAACCTTATTTGATAAAATCTATATAAAAAAGAAAAAACACAGCATGCAAATCAGAGTTGTACAATGATAAGACAAGCCAGTCAGATACGGCAAAATAATTTGTTAAATGCCGTACTTTTATTGAGATACTGAAATATAGGAAATCTTGTAGCGAATTCAATCCCGTGCAGTACAGTACAATGATAGAGTCGTACCGGTACAAATTTAGTAGAGTTTTCACAATCTCTGACACTCTTAGATGGTAGTGATACAGTTACATAATCTGTTCTTCTATTTTCAGATGTTATTCTTGTTGTGCCGAACTATCGGCTAGGACCGTTTGGATTTACCTCTCTAGGGATTGATGATGCTCCGGGGAACCAGGGGTTCCTTGATCTAGTTCAAGCACTCCGCTGGATCAATACAAATATAGGTCATTAAAAATCCTTGATAAACGTTATTTCAACTGACTCTCCGTGCAAAGATTGCTATGTCCAATTCACAACTGTACCCCATGTCTGATCAGGTTTGAAGTAGATATATATCAAAGCTTAGAATTTAAAAACTGATTATTTTCATATTTTTTCTACAAAAGTGACTTGTACATTTTTACTACATTCGAATTATCTGAATTTAATCCTCTTAAGCCTAGAAAAACGACAATATCTTCACACTATTGGACAGGTAAAGGTCTCAAGGATACCGGGAATTATGCATTGCAATCTTTGTATGAATGGTCACTTGAACGCCAAAAAGTCCATTTTTAAAAAGAAGAGTTTGTATCTTTTGGTTGGTAAATCCTTTCAGCATTCAGGCACTAATCCGTAGATATTGTAGTTCAACAGATTAAGTGGTTGATAAAAATATATTCTTTTTGAATCCTGATTATGTAGATAACATTTCTTCAACTCCATGTTTAAAGGGCACTGTTGTAAATACTCGATGCCATTTCATTCAATGGATAACTTTGATTTACATTTACAATCCCTTTAAGAGTTTTTCGGTGGTGACCCTGGCAGAGTTACAATCTTCGGAGAGTCTTCAGGCAGCTGGGCTGTTTCATATTTGGCTATAAGTCCTCTGGCAAATGGCCTCTTTCAGAGGTAATGGACTTCAAACATTTGATCAGTGTACTAGAGATGTCAACGTTTTGCTTTTTTCTAATTTCAGCTTTCGTTACGATAGTGTTCATCAAAAGTATAAAACGTTGAAACGCACGTTACACATTTTGAAATTTTATGAGTAACGTTACGTAATGAATTTTCTGCACTTGAATACCTTATACAACTTTAAACTTTAAACTTTAGTAACAGGGGTGTAAGAGGGGGGGGGGCGGGATGCACGCCCCCCCTTTGCGTGCCCCTCCCTATGGGGGGGCACTCACCCAAACTAAAAGATTAAGAAAAGAAATAAATTATATTTTGATTCACTAACTATGCGATAAATACGTAATACGATAATAAATTTAGTATTCAGAGATTAGTATTCAGAGAAAAGGTATGAAATTTGATTTAGAATACATTTTTTTTTAAATGTTAAACATTACACTATTGAAATTTATACTATGCATAGAAAACTTTCGTTTCCTGATTATTAAAATAATAACCCATTTCTGAAACATTGAACTTTTCATTATACTACCAGGGAAAACGTGTCAAAACGTTTTCATAAACTGGAATGCATTTTTCAGTTATACCACGTTACACTTTTTATAACTTGAACTTTGAAATAAAAAACCTTCTATTACAATATTCAATCAAGTGTACATTCAATACATTGTACAGTGTTTACAACTTTTCTTTAGAAATAAATTAATTGTAATAATATATGTTTAATGTTTGTATCTCATTAAAAAAGTAAAAAGCAAAAAAATATTTTTAAAAAATTGCAGATATGGTCCTAAGAGACAGATTTAGAAAAAAATTTCAAATTTATGAAAAGTCCTTTTAATTAGATATTCCAAACAAAATTACACAAAATATAAGAACTATAATTTGAATTTTTCTTTAGAGGAATTATGCAAAGTGGCGGATTGTTTAATCCGTTTTGGACTTGGAGAACACAGGAGGTATTCTATTTTTCAGATAATTTTATAAAAGAAATTTTTTTCAGGATTGCCTTTATTTGAACGTTTACGCTCCAAAACAGATGTAAGTAATTTCTACAATACAGAGGTCGGTCTTTACTTTCAATGACAACTTTCTGTTCAAGATTTTATTTCTGACGAGCTTTAATTCACAGAGACAGTTATAAACAAACCCAAATTGTTAATTTGAAATAGTCATGTCCGATTCACAACTGTAACCCTCCAAGGAGCATGGCATATAAGGGAGAGGAAATCGACCCGTCCTCAAAAAAAATGGTTTTTTGACCATAGATCAACCAATTTTCACAGTTTCAAAAAAACCAACAACTGTGCAATATTCAGTGGTTAGAGGTTTAACCTTAGACACTCATATCACCCTGTTTTGAAAAAAATAAAAAAAAATGGGCCTCCTGTCGTCATTGTTGATTTTTAAAAGTGCTTGCGCTGACCCATTTTTTCAAATCCAAAATATTTCATAATGTTTTTTCGTAAGTTTAATTAAACAATTTTCGCTGCGTGTTGGTAATTTTTGTAAAATTTTTTACATTGTCCAGGCTTATTCAAATGATCTCTGTGCAGGATGCAATCCAACTGGGTGGATTTCTGGCAGAAAACCTGGGCTGTTCTAAAGATGGAAATACTGATCAGATGCTAGGTACAGGGGGACCCACAAAAGATGAGACATCAGAGACGACTATACGTAATTGTATATTGTGTTCTATTTTGTACTTACTGTTCTCTGCAGCTGAAAGCTTGTTTCTCTCTTTTCCTATCATTTAAAGGGACCGTTCACTTATTTGGGTAATTTCAGGGTAAACTAAACAGCCTATTCGCTGTTGATTAGTAATAGTCTTACTTTTCAAAAACGACTGTGGCCGGAGAAAAAGTTGATTTTTCGTTCAGAATTCGAGCGCAAAGGGACGGTCCCTTTCTATAGACACTAATTGATGTTTTTTTTCAGCATGTTGTGAATCAAAATAAATTTCGAATATAAAATTAAACTGTAGTATCTAATCGTTAATTGTAAATGTCATTATTTTTAATTTTTATTTGTTTTTTAAATTTCTATTTCTAAAATAACACTATTTTATCGCATTCAAAATTGTGTATTGCCTGTGTAAAAAGCTGAATTGGACGCGGCATGACAAATGAAAAGTTGTGCACATACGGGAAAAAATATACAAAATCTACGAACCAAAATACGATTAATGATTAATTGATTGTCGTAGAGACGTCGTCTTTGTAAACACATTTTAAATGTTTTAATACGAAAAACGCAAATTTCTTGCTAACCCCAATATCAAAAGTTTTAAGATTTTTGTACATAATAACGAACACATAATGACATTAAAATATAATAAATTTAATGTTATTGGGCTGCTGTTACTGAAAAAACATCAAATAGTGTCTATAGAGAGGGACCGTCCCTTTCCGCTTAAATTCTAGACGAAAAATCGGCTTTTTCTCCGGCCACAGTTGTCTTTGAAAAGTAAGACTATTACCAATCAAGAGCGAATAGGCTGTTTAGTTTACCCTGAAATTACCCAAATAAGTGAACGGTCCCTTTAATAAGCCATTGAAAGGGTCTAATCAAGGAAAAGAAGACTTAATTTAACATTGGAATCATCTTACCTTTAGGTCGTTTTTATAGTCTTTGTAGGTAGACATATACAATAGAAATAGTTCCTTAGGTAGATTTATCATCATTACAATTAAACTTAATACCAACCTTAACCACCATTAGATAGAAATCAGCTATTTGACCATTTTATAAAATTCAAGAAAAAAGTTGCTAAAAAATTTGAAGATCCTACGGGTTACCCTCAAAGAATGAGACTTCAGAAGCTATATATCTAGATTTAGAGAAATATTTGTCGAAGCCTGGATCGATATTCCTGTGATATATAATGTGCATATTCGTGTGATATATAATGTGCATATTTCCAGAATGTCTGCAGGAGGTATCTGTAGATGCACTGGAAGATTCGATAAACTGGGGAACTGAGGAAACCTATGGAATTCAGAAGATACTAAGACCAACAGGAATCATTGGCAAGTTTTTTCTTATCAATTGTGGCATGGACCCACCTTTATATAGTTATATGGTTATGGTTATATGGCTACAAAACTGATTAATTACCCAAGGACAAATTTCAGATTACTCTACACCAGAGAAAGATTTGCAAAGATTTTGAACTTGAGAAATACTTTCGTTCCGATTCACAGCAATGCCCTTTAATCGTTCTTCTGAGTGAAAATATAGAATATATCGTCCTTCTCGTAGATACCTTTAATAGTGTTGTATTCTGACAATTTTCTTCATTGTCATTGTATCATTATAATCCGTCTGTTTTATGGAGAAACCATATACATACATATATATGTATTTTACATATATAATACAATATATTTTCCATGAGAAAGAAAAACTTATCTCATACACATGATCTATGTTTAGATGGAAAGTTTTTGCCTGCTAATCCTGTAAACTTGATGGAGAGAGGGGAATATAATCATATTGATCTATGTTTAGATGGAAAGTTTTTGCCTGCTAATCCTGTAAACTTGATGGAAAGAGGGGAATATAATCATGTTGATCTAATGGTCGGCGTAACAAAGGTATATTTTTTTGGGAAGAGGAGGTTGATACCCTACCCACCCCTTAAAAAGGGGGTACAACAAATGCACATTCCTCCCATACTATTTTAGTTTTTTTATTCATGTATTTATCTCCTTTGCTTTTTAATAAACATCGAAACAGCAATTTTTTGGCTGATATTTGTCTCATGCAGGAATTGAGTCTTTGCCACAAACCCTGATTTACAAAATCCAATATCTTTAAACCCCAATGTCGTAAATCTAAGATATCTCAAACTATTAATTCTGTAAGATCAAATAATCTAAGTTTGAATTATCAAAGGTTGGGAAGATATAAGCATTAGAAAATTTGAGTTTGAAACAAAGACTGAAATCTTTTTTGGCTAATTTTTTCTCTTAAATTGATTTACATTCAAGAATAGTGCTCAGAAAACATTTTAAGAAAATTTATAAGAATTTATTCTTTTAACCATTTCCAACTGAACTGAATATTAACAGGATGAAGGGTTGCTTCAGATGTACCAACTAGAACTGAATCCTGAATTGTATGTTGTTGCCAGTATTTTCTGGAATTCAATATTCGGCCCGATGTTCCTTTTTGGAAGGTACAGACTACAGACAAAGAGTATAGTCAAGTATAAGATAGAATTAAATCGAAAAAAGTGTTGAACCGCCATTTTGTTGTACTGTTAACATACTACAGGTGTACTTCATACATTTGTACTATCCTTTTGGGCCCTGGAACATCTTTTTGTACAACAAACTTTATTAAAAATTTTCTCTAAATCAATTCTCTGAAAACCTGTCAAGCATTCCCGAGTTCATTTCAGCATAGACTTTATAAGAAGAAGAAATTATAAAGGATCATATTGTATTATTGTGATGCATACTGTACATAATTTGTGAACATTTACATGAATTGTACACTTTGAACTCCTTTTCAAGCTAAAAGGTACTGAACAAATTCATACCTACGGATTTTCTTATTTCCCTTCTATTCTAATCTATGTTCTGTGGGTACAGGGTTACCCACAGAAAATGAGACGTTAATGAAGACCTAAAATTATAATTACACAGCTATCCGAATTTTGAATTTGGTCTGATGCCTCAAGGTAATAAGGCAAGGAAAGTTAATTGTTGTTGCGAATTCTCTGCGTACATATTGAAGCCAGTTCTAACTGGGCTGTGTTTGTAAACAAGAATAGATGCAGCAGAGTTTCTCTAGTATCCGAGGAGGATAAAAGCTTCTAATTTTGATAACTTTGATAATTCACATAATAGTTTCCTATGACCAGAATATTTCATTGATTTTTTATGTGAAAGTTTGATTCAATGTCAGGCTGTGACATCCGTCTTGTGTTTACTGTACCGCCCAGAGACAGTACACTGCAGTAGAAACAATACGTACACCTCTGAAATATTATATTATAATTCTTTGTTTTTCCTTGACTATCATTAGAATATCCTTTCTAGTCGATGATTCATTTGGTATACTGTCTTTGCCTTTAATAGTGTGTGTGTGTGTACTGTACTCTACAACTTCCTTTCGTGGCTTAAAAGTTGGCCCTTTACTTGAAAAGAGCTTGGTAACCCTGTATTTACTCAAAATTCATTTATTCAATCAAAGGAATCCATTTCTAAGTTAAAACTTTCCAACTTGATGCTCGGAAACTGCACCCTATGCACATAGTTTGATTGTCTGTCTGTTTGCCCGTTTGTGTCTAAGCAACGTCAAAATGGCCCGACCGATGGCAGCCAAATGTCGTATGGTAACCCATGCATGACCCCGGGGGAATTTCATAGACCAATAATTGAACATTTAAAGCTTCAATAAAAAAAGATTTTTTTTAATGTGCCTATTTATTTAAAAATCACTATAAAAATAGCAATTAAGATGCTGTTATACCTATGATATTACTTTGAAGGATATGGTTAATTACATAATATTATATTGTTTAAAGGTTTGGTAACTATGATATTACTGAAGAGGAAATGGTTAATTACAGAATATTATATTGTTTAAAGGTTTGGTAACTATGATATTACTGAAGAGGATATGATTAATTACAGAATATTATATTGTTTAAAGGTTTGGTAACTATGAAATTGCTATGAAGGATATAATTAATTAAAGAATATTATATTGTTTAAAGGTTTGGTAACTATGAAATTACTGAAGAGGATATGATTAATTACAGAATATTATATTGTTTAAAGGTTTGGTAGCTATGATATTACTGAGGAGGATATGGTTAATTACATAATATTATATTGTTTAAAGGTTTGGTAACTATGATATTACTGAGGAGGATAAGGAGATGACCAATTTAATTACAAAATATTATCTGGGTGAACCTGGAGCTGCAAATATTAATCAACAACACTTTCAAAATATGACAGGTCATACAGGGTGTCCCAATAACGATGGGAATTCAGTGACGAATTCGATATCGTCTTTTAAATAATTCTTTGATTTAGTATAGTAATACCTACTGAGAAAGCTGTAATCTGTAAAAGTTCCGTCTGCTACGATCACATTTTGTTTGTTTATGTTTTGACTGCATACGGTTGTACTTAGTAAAATAAGAAAATTGCAGTATACAAATTGCAGTATACCGTTCATCTTGCAGAGACATTATAGACACATTTTTACACATCTTTTACCCTTTTCATAAAATAAACTCTAGCAGACATAATATATTATGGGTTTTGAAATTAGTCATTACATTGCTAATTCATAACACAGACGATATCCATTTTGTCACTTAATTCCGATGTTATTTGGGACACCCTGTACAGTTTAACCCAGAACTTCGGAGCCCTCAAAATAATTTATGAAATGTCGTCTTCTTAATGGCTGTTTATCTATTTTTACAATTACTGAAAATTAGGTTTAATACAGGGTGTCCCACATCATATTAGACCGAGAACGGGTCTAAATTACGATTTTCGGGACTAATCAGAAAATTTAATTAGAATGAATCATTTGGAAAAATAATATAAGGCTTATATAAGAATTTTCTTGTGAAAAATGAAAAGTTTTTCTAGTTATAAGGATTTATTTTGGTGTTAAAGATTGGAGATAATCTAATTTGATATGGGACGCTCTGTAGTATAAAACACAATTCATAGATTCTTTCTATGTCTCTGAAGCTTTGGGTTAAACTGTAGAATACTCCCTAACCAAATGGGGTGTCTATGAAAATGAAGGGTATATTGTTTTTTTTTGGAGTCTTTAAAAAACGTTTAAACATAACTTTTCTTTATTAAATGGGATTCTTCTTATTTTTATTTCTTACAATTAAAAGTATTTCAATTAAAAATCAACAAAATTAATTCAAGATTCTGGGATTGCAATATTGTCTTTGTGACTTTTTGACGCATTTCGATTAGATTTTTTAAAACGAAGTCTCTGAAAATATAAAATTTTTTGAAGTGTTTTGAAAACTATCTAAAATAACTCTTTATTAAAATTATATTTCAATACTTTCCATGTTTCTTTCAAATAAATAGTTCCAATTTAAAAATTTTAAAAAATTAATTATGACTGATTAAATTTTTAAGTTTTATTTTATTAGATATGATTTCTGATGCTTATATCTGGTACGGATCACATAAGCAGGTTGTATGCAAAAGTAGTTAAAAAAAGGCATAAATTAGGAACTTAAGCCTGTTCTTCAACACTTGAGTGAAAAAAGTGCATTTCCAAGTGTCATGTTTAGGCATTTAAATACAAAAATTAAAATTAAACATTTTTTATCAAAAAAGAATAGCCTAGAAATTCTAGAAAATCTAAAATGTTTAAAAAGTTTAAAAAAACATTTCAAATTAAATAATATAAACATTTAGGCTGAATGGGCTGCAGCCCATGGCGATAATGTTTACAAATATATGTTTACATTTAAAGGTATTTATCTTGTATATTTTTATATAAATTATATCCCAATAAAAATAGAAATTAACCCTAAACAGGCTGGGGGGGGGGGGGTGTTGACGCCCCCCCTCCATCTAGGTTTTTGTCCTAAAACTCTCATTTTTGATACTATCAACGTGAAATTTTGTGACTTTTATTGAATAGAAGTTTAAAGGATTTTAGAAAATATATTTTTGAATGCATAGGGTACAGCTGGCGGTAAAGAGTCCGATCTGTGTTGAAATAAGTTCTAAAATAGTCTATATTTTTTGTGTGACTAAAGCTACAGATCTTAAAATTGTATTTTTGAAAAACCTTTGAAAAATTGATGTAGAAACATGTGTCACACTGATATTTGTTAAAAAGAAAAAAATATTTTTTACATTTTTTTACCATTCTTTTTGGCATTTTTTCAACCCTCCCTAGCACCCAAATTTAATTGAAGTTATCGCTCTAATCTTTTTTACTATGAGCTGACCTTGAAAAATTGGGCTATGAACATGCATTTGAACCCTATACCTATTATCTAAGGCCTTTTTCTATGGGGGGGGGGACTCCCCCCTGCATAGATTCAGACCCCCCATCCTTTATAGGGTTAAGTGACGACTCGTTAATCTTCTTTGTTCAACGCAGTATTATTTAATAAACACATTTAACACCATAAACTATTAGTTTCAGGATTTCCTTCATAGATATTCAGAAGGTGAATTGGGCGCACATTTATCTATTTTGGCAATGTGTAGGGTTATTCATGCAAATATTTTTTATTTAACCAATTTGGGCTTATTTATGAACATATGAGTTTATTTAGCAGACACCTTGGACTAATTTAGGCACATATGGGCTTATTTAGCAGACAACTTGGACTAATTTAGGCACATATGGGCTTATTTAGCAGACAGTTTGGACTAATTTAGGCACATATGGGCTTATTTAGCAGACAATTTGGACTAATTTAGGCACATATGGGTTTGCTGACGCATTTGGACTTGATAACTCAAAGTACGGAGTGTGTCATGCAGATGAATTGTATTATTTCTGGAAACCATACTGGAAAAAAGCTGCAATTCAGGTACTGGTTAGATTTCACTTAACAAACATGGAAGCTGCAGAGAGACAATTTTCATACCATCTTTGATCTGGGATAGCTATATATGGTACAGTCAACTTCACATATAAGAATACATAGCAAGAGCGCATGAAATGTCGTCTTGAAATTTATTTAAAAGTGTATGACAGCTGTAATGCTTGATCATTGGTCTGCACAAAAAGAAAGCTGCTAAGATTTTCGCAGCTTCAAAGTGTTTTATACGATTTACAATAAGTTTTTTGACAATTCTTAAGAAACTGTTTTTTTATTCAAGGTAAATTAATAGCCCTGAAATAGTAAGGACAGCAATTGATATATTGAACTCGTTTTTCCGCGGCATTTGATCTTAAATATGTTGAGAATACGACATTATAAAAAAACTCTTGCTATGTATTCAGATATCTGGGATTCACTGTATCAAAAAAGATAAGATAAGATAAGATATATTTTATTGCTAAAAATACACATACAAGTTATAATGTTACAGGCAAAAAATCTGCAACTATTTTTATATTGTTTACTATATTTATGTAATTCTAGCAATAAGCTGTAATAATAGTAATAAGCTGTCATGAAATGGGTTTACCTATGGAATCTTCTATACTCCACTTCTGACCTACGCCAAATCCGCTATACAACACATCCGATCTACTAGCACGTGGTTTTACAGATGCTAGATAGACTTGTGGCCGCGGCGCCTGACCCCCTAGCCTGTCCTAGCCTGTCCTAGCCCTTGCGCTCGGCACCCTAGCCTGTCTTAGCCACAGCGCTCGGGCCAGAAATTGTCTTAACCTAACTTAACCCTTAAATAATACAAAAATAAACAGCTGGCGTAGGTCCGATATTGAAGTAGGTCGGAAAGTTGGTAGGTTAGAAGTTCAGTAGGGGGGATGTTGCGTATAGACGATGAAACTTTTCTCGAAAGTTATTTGATAAGAATTTAGAAGGGACTTGGTTTTAATCGAGAACTTTCTTATCCATAATTATAGATGGGACCTTTTTTTTGGGTCTGCATTAATACTTCATTTGTTAAAGTTATTCAATTCAATTTAAAAATTGGTTAAAAACGATATTTACTTCTTCTTTAAACATTTATAACAAGAAAACACTGACGACGACTTTTTGTAGTGATACTTAAACACTTAGACACTTATTTGATAACTAAATACATGAAATGTGCCTGTTTACACTACACTATTGCTGTTTCCCATGTTCATTGGAGTATTTAAAATCTTAACTTGAGTCGAAAAGTCGTCTTTATTACAGAGTTTTCTGGTTTTCACTGGAATATAAGGAGAGAAAGGGGTTTGCACATAATTTGATTTTTCTTAAAACTTCAACCTGACCCTGTTTTCTAATTTGTGAACAATCTCTTTAAGATGACTCCTGCAGAGGAGCTGGTGGCGGAAAGAATGTTGAACTCTTGGGCAAACTTTGCCAAATATGGAGATCCATCAATCCCAGGGTTCGTATATTTTTCCAGTTTATAGGGACGGGTCACGGAATACACAGTTTAAAGGGGCGGGTCACGGAATATCCAGTTCAAAGGGACGGGTCACGGAATATCCAGTTTAAAGGGACGGGTCACAGAATATACAGTTTAAAGGGGCGGGTCACGGAATATACAGTTTAAAGGGACGGATCACGGAATATCCAGTTGAAAGGGACGGGTCACGGAATATCCAGTTCAAAGGCACGGGTCACGGAATATCCAGTTTATAGGGGCGGGTCACGGAATATACAGTTTAAAGGGGCGGGAGTCTTTTTGGTGTATTTTTATGGTGAACAAAATAAGTCCAGGTGGGAGAGGGGGGGCAAAAAAAATTTTTAAAAAGCTATTAATATCTTTTCAAAAAAGGGGTTTTTAAGGGGGGGGACCAATGTTGCCAAGGGGGCCCTCGTACGCCCCTGGAATCAGGCATTGATATCTTTGCATGAATGGTCAGCTGAAACCACGCTTACAGTCCCTGTAAGTAGAAGCTAGAAAATCATATGTCGTCTTTCAGAGAAATAATTGGCTCTGCTGTTTTTTTAAAGAAGGATAATATCGTTTTGGAAAGCTTTAAAGTAAGGAAACATTTCTTGACGCATAAATTGTTATAGAATTTAATCATTGAAGATCAGATGCGATCTATAACTAGGAACAAAATTTGTAGTTTTAAGTTCTATTCTCAACGATTCTGTTCACAACGGTTCTATTCCCAACGGTTCTATTCCCAACGGTTCTATTCCCAACGGTTCTATTCCCAACGGTTCTATTCCCAACGGTTCTATTCCCAACGGTTCTATTCCCAACAGTTCTATTCCCAACGGTTTTTTTCTCTAAGTTTCTATTCTTTACGGTTCTATTCCCAAAGGTTCTATTCCCTACGGTTCTGTTCACAACTGTTCTCTTTCCAACGGTTCTATTCCTAACGGTTCTATTCCCAACGGTTCTATTCCCTACGGTTCTATTCCCAACGGTTCTGTTCACAACAGTTCTATTATCTACGGTTCTATTCCCAATGGTTCTATTCCTAACGGTTCTATTCCCTACGGTTCTATCCCCACGGTTCTGTTCACAACAGTTCTATTACCAACAGTTCTATTCCCAACGGTTCTATTCCCAACGGTTCTATTCCCAACGGTTCCATTCCCAATACCTTTATTCCCGTGAAAAAAAATTATTCAAAAAAAACAATAATAAATGAAATAAAATTTGGTATTCTCATTTTGGATTTTCAAATCTTACTACCGCCAATAACACGATAAAAAAAACTTTAAAATTGAAATTTTAATTCTAAGGCCCTCAAAGCCTCTCGTTTCAATGTGTTTACAATTTCTAATTTTGAAAATAAGGCATTTTACAATCTGAACAGTCTGAAAAAAATGTACAAAATCTAGCTCTCAAAGTTTTTAATACCAGTACTGTTTAAATTTGTACATAACATTTTCGCGAAAAATGAAGACATTTTATATAAACACTACCCCCCTAGCCCATCTTAGCTGCAGCGCTCAGCCAAGAAATTGTCTTAACTTAACCTAACCTAAAATAATATGACAGATATAATGCTCGGCCAGATATTGAGATTTCGGTTATGTGCTTTTTGTATTGTAAAGTTTGTAAATATTTTTCAATTATTTCATTTTACTACACAGTTTTACTGAATTGGGAAAATTGCTGTTGTTGACATTAGTGACTGGGAAAGTATGTGTATGTTGGGGGAGTTGTGGATGGGGAAATTGCTGTTGGGGAAGTTGTGGCTGGGGAAATTGCTGTTGGGGAAGTTGTGGCTGGGGAAATTGCTGTTGGGGAAGTTGTGGTTGGGGAAATTGCTGTTGGGGAAGTTGTGGTTGGGGAAATTGTGTCGGGGAAGTTGCGCTGGGGAAATGACCTAATGTAATACACAACGTTTACTTTACTTTCATTGTAAAGGAGTGATATAAACTGGAGTCCTTTAACTGCTGAGAACCAGGAGTACATGAATATTGGAGAGGAGTGGAAAATGGAGATATCTGAGGACTATGTCAACAGGTTAATCATATAAAACAACTAGTTAAAGTGCCCGGCATTGCCCTGAAAATTTTTTTTATTCGAATTAAAAAAAATTTGACTTCATCGAATTTAGTTTTAGTTTTACGTTGGGAGGTAGAATAAACAAAGCAAATATATATTTTAGAATGAGAGCTTGGGACAAAATCTATAAATATATATTTTAGAATGAGAGCTTGGGACGAATTCTATAAATATATATTTTAGAATGAGAGCTTGGGACGAAATCTATAAATATATATTTTAGAATGAGAGCTTGGGACGAAATCTATAAGTATCCAACCGGAAATACGCTTCCAACCATTCCACTTGGAGAACAAACTGGAGATAGAATTCTGAACTGAAACTCTGCTCAGAAAAATTCTCTACTCTATTTCATGTTGTTTATGAGGAATAGTTTAACTATTTAGTTTGAACAAGACAAAAAAATCAAATTAAGAGCTATAGGTCTGTGTACAGTACAGTACAGTACAGCACAGTACAGTACAGTACAGTACATGTGAATTGAACTATTTAAAATCATAACTTGACTGTTCCATAGTAGCTACAGGGTGTTCCACGAAACATGGCAGTTGGTGAATAATTTAAAATGTCCTAATATTAAAATTGATTTCAAAGTAAAATATATTTTAGTAAAAGATTTTATTGGACGAAAAAAAATGCAAAAAGTCTTTAATATATACTACTGTATAGTGAAGAAGACATTCCAAATTATTTACTAACTGTCATGCTTCTTAGGACACCATTTATTAAAAACGATCTTTGCGTCGTCCCTCAACTGTCATGTCTAAAAAAAACTATATAAAAACTAAACCATAAATAAACTTTGTATTTATTTCAAAACAAAATCAAATTTTCTTTTTTTTTAAAGAAAAACTTTTAATTGTATGTAATATAGACATTTTTTGGCTTGTTTACTTAGTAAAACTAGAAAATTACAGTATACAAACATCTTGCAAAGACATTATAGACACATCTTTGCAGCCATTTACCGTTTTCAAAAAAAAACATTTGCAAACATAATAATATTATGTCTTTTGAAATAAGGTATTGCAATGCTAATTCATAATAAAGACGATATCGAATTCTGAATTCCCATGTTTATTGGGACACCCTGTACTACATTTTTTTCAAATAAAAACTTTTAATTTGACATAATATAGAAATTTTTTTCCTCATCGGAATGGCTTGTTTAATTGTGTTTAAATGAAAATAAAAATTTAAAATCATCCCTGTAAATTATATTTAATCAATGCTTGTCCGGGCTCTCTCAAATCATAATTGGTTCTAGAGAATGGAAATAAAATGAAATTAATAGTACACTTTTTCATAAAAAAGCAGGTCTTATATTCTCTCTTATTCCCAGTATGTACTATATTAAATTTTTTGTATATATAAAGGCATTCTTTCATTAGGAAACGCTTCTTTTTGCGTTTAAATTAAATGCGTTATTCTTAATTTAAAATTATCCCTGTAAATTATATATTGATAAATCGAAATCCGGTTTCTCTGAAATCCTAATGGGTTGTGGTGGAAGGAATGCGGGGAATGCTGAATACAATTCTAAACATGGTGCCTAGAGCGACAATATCTAGGCGCCGGGGTGCCAGGATATACCAGGCCTATAGCCTAGGCCTGAATTTAGGCATAAATTCGACCTTAAACATATGCACTAAACACTGCCTGAACTTTATCGACGCAGTTTCTTTGTAATAAAAATTAAATCACGATATTTCTTAAAAAAGAATAAAAATACAAAACAAATAAAAAATGAACATATTAAAAGTAAATGTTAAATCAAGATAAATTTAAGTCTACAAACTTTAAACTTTTTTAATATTAAAATATTCATATTATACGATATTATAAATCTATATTTCTCATCCACCAGTGTAGACCTCTACTCTAATCTCTAATCTCTAAGATGTGTGATCTATATTTCTCTACTGTTTAGACCTCTACTCTAATCTCTAATCTCTAGGATGTATAATCTATATTTTTCCCCTGTATAAACCTCTACTCTAATCTCTTATAAAGGATGTATAATCTATATTTCTTCCCTGTATAAACCTCTACTCTAATCTCTAATCTCTAATAAAGGATGCATAATCTATATTTCTCCCCTGTTTAGGCCTCTACTCTAATCTCTAATAAAGGATGTATAATCTATATTTCTCCCCTGTTTAGGCCTCTACTCTAATCTCTAATAAAGGATGTATAATCTATATTTCTCCACTGTTTAGACCTCTATTCTAGTCTCTAATCTCTGGGATGTATAATCTACTCTAATCTCTAATAAAGGATGTATAATCTATATTTCTCCCCTGTTTAGGCCTCTACTCTAATCTCTAATAAAGGATGTATAATCTATATTTCTCTACTGTTTAGACCTCTACTCTAATCTCTAATCTCTAGGATGTATAATCTACATTTATCCACTGTTTAGACCTCTATTCTAGTCTCTAATCTCTGGGATGTATAATCTATATTTCTCTACTGTATAAACCTCTACTCTAATCTAGGATGTATAATCTATATTTCTCCCCTGTATAAACATATACTCTAATCTCTAATCTAGAATGTAAAATCTATATTTCTCCCCTGTATAAACCTCTACTCTAATCTCTAAGAAAGGATGTATAATCTATATTTCTCCTCTGTATAAACCTCAACTCTAATCTTTAATCTAGGATGTGCAGTGTTCCACAGCTCAAGGACTTATTTGTCCATAGACCCTATACAGTTGATATACCCTATATACTCAGATTATCTCAGCTCATTTAAAGGGAAACCATATTCATCCTAGCTCACACTGATCCACACATGGATATGAAAATAGTACATTCACTAATAATACCAGAGTTGGGGACTTTATCGTAGAATTCCTCTGCACTCCTATTAATCTTGCATGCTTGAGCTTGATACCGAATGCGGGCACTTTTGAGGATGAAGACTTGATCCTCAATCAAAGTTTACCCCGCATAATATGGCCACTGGTCACAAAAGTTCAGAGTCCGAATTTAATGAATTTGAGCCGTATCTCAAATCTGCCGAAAGCCGGGTTTCAATTGAGCGCCGGCTAAAACCTTGAAACATTGAATATAATTTTTAATGGAACCAACCACATTTGAACCCCGGCTGCAGATATCTGTACTTTAATTTTTTTTCGTAGCACTGGTTAAAAGCTTCTTTAATTAGGAAATCTTAGTAGATTTTAACGTCAGTATTTTAAATGTGTTATTTTGAGGTCGTTCTAACTCTTACTTCACAACTATATTCTGGTAAACCCCCTCTAATCATCATCAAAATAAAACTTAATAAACCAACCAAACCAAGTGTTGTGGGAGAGGGGGCGGGTGCAGAGAAGAGGAGAAATAGATAGATAGATAGATAGATAGATAGATAGATAGATAGATAGATAGATAGATAGATAGATAGATAGATAGATAGATAGATAGATAGACGGATAAAAAGAGAGACATATACAGTCATAACCAGAAAACTGTAGAATAAGAAGACGAGATTATACCATTTCTGAAGTGCATTTGATGGTGTTGTTTAAAGCAAATATAGATTTACTTAAAAGTTATAGAATTACTTATAAAGTAAAATGGGACTGTTTACATTGCACAATAGCTGTGTCTCATGTTCAATGTGCTATTTAAAGTCCAAACTTGAGTTTAAAAGTCGACTTCCTATTCCAGAGTTTTCTGGTTATCACTGTAGATAGATAGATAGATAGAACGAAAGATAGAGAGATAGATAGATAGATAAATAGATAGGTAGGTAGACATATAGATATATAGATAGATAGACAGATATATTGATAGAAAGAAACGCTAAATAGCTAGATATATAGTTAGTTATAGAGATAGACAGCTACATAAAAATATAGATAGATAGATATATTGTTAGAAAACAGAGATAGCTAAATAGCTAAATAGATAGGAAAAAATATAAATTGATAGAAAGAATAAAAAATAGCTAGCTTAAATATAGATAAATAGATAGATAGAAAGAAAGATAGATAAATAGATAGATATATAGATTGTTAGATAGATAGATAGATAAATAGATAGATAAATAGGTAGATAGAAAGAAAGATAAATAGATAGATAGAAAGAAAGATAGATAAATAGATAGATATATAGATAGTTAGATACATAAATAGATAGATAGATAGATAGAAAGATAAATAGATAGATAGAAATATAGATAGAAAGAAAGAAAGATAGAAAGATAGAAAGATAAATAGATAGAAAGATAGATGGTTGTATAACCAAAGGTTTCTGAGTTCTCAGTATACAGCTGACCTGAGACGAGGTGAGACACGTTAAGAAATTTCACCATTTAGTGCGGGGTGCAACTTGTAGATGGAGGGATGGGGGGGGGGAGGGGGGGGACCTTTCTCAGTCCAGATTAAATTTACTGGCTTGTAACTTAAAATGAAAAGGATTTACCTACATGCTTTGAAATCAGATTAAGAGAAGTGTGAGAAAGCTGTATATCTTATATCTATCTACATTAATATCTTTATAGCTTTCTTTATATTTATCTATTTTTATATCTATCTTTCTTTTTATATATCTATCTATCTTTCTATCTATCTATCTATCTATCTATCCATCTATCTATCCATCTTTGGTTTCTATCTATTTATCTACCTGTCTATCTATCTATGTTTTCTTTCTGTCTATACTTTCTATCTAATATTATCTATCTTTATTTTTTTTTTTGCCAGAACAAGGTTGAGTGATTTAGATGTTCTAGTTTAAGACTCAGAGAACAAACTTCACTTTCAAACCTTTATTTTACAAAAAATGTTTTTTAATGTATGAAATGTTGGGCTGTACGTAAGATATTTAATGTTAAAGTAAATTACATGAAAGGGGGTTTCTTCATGAATATCAGTGGCGATTCTCTTAAACTTTAGGGACGCTTTAGGGGACTATAGGGTACAGAAACGTTACTGTAGGGGTACCTTAGGGGTTCAGTAGGGTTTACAAAAGGTTTAATAACTTTTTTAGTTGTTTTTAATGTTTTGTTCAATTCCGGAGTTATTTTGTAATTGTAATACCCAGCGGAATCTTAAGATCTGATGTTTAAAATTTAGAATAGAAAAAAGTATTGTTTTGAAAATAAAAAAATATCTTTACAACCCTAAGCCGTATATTTCAAACTATGAAATTTGTCATAGCAAATAATCTAAGTTTAAAATATTAAAGATCTCTACCATCAGGAAACAAAGATATAAAGATTAAAAAATTAGAGTTTGTGACAAAGACTCAATTCCTTAATCTAAATATTACTGCATAAAAGCCTGGACACCTAGCTAGTTAAAACTATGCATTCTTTTCCGTGGGCTGGGTGCACTTTAACTTAACCTTGGTAAACTGTATGCAGTATATGTATTTTATATTATATTCTAGCTTGGGAACCCAGCGTTGCCCAGTTTACTCCCGGACCCCCGTTTACTCGGACTTGGTCGATTTTACCGGGAAACTAAAAAGTCTACCCACTCAACTAAGCTAAACCATTTCCGTGGTTCTTCCTAGGCCCCCAATAAAAATTTGAGGCAAATCGGTCCAGACATTCCCGAGTTATGATCCTTATCAAAGCGAAAAGCTTTAACCCTGACTGAGTACGATTACCATGCGGGATATCGAATAAAGATTAAATTAATCTGCAGATTAACAAAAGATCGAAATGAAGCATAATACATAGTTGGCAGCTCTGTTTGTTTGTTTCTGGTCAAAAGTATTAAGATTATTATTATTATTATTATTATTTCTTGATTAGTTTAATTGGTTCTTGAAATTATCTAGGTTAGATTATGGGTAATTATATAGAGGTTGATTTCAGGTCACGCACCCGCAGTAATCATTCCCGTACAGGGTGTCACGGAAACAAGGAAATCTTTCCGACAGGGTGTCCCTGTACCTGGAAAACTTTTTCTGACCGGCGCGGGTGTCATGTAAATATTTTTATTTCGAGCGTCCCGTAAACGAGTTAAACATTCTTTGTAGAGGGTGTTAAAATATTATAGAAAGCTTTAAAATAATCAATAAAATCTAAAAGCTGGACAATTTTCGATTAAAAATCATTTAAGCATTATTATGGGAGGTATCGTTGTTGGACTGGAAATGTGTAAAATTCTGATAATTTCCTTCCTTTTTTTCTTTTTCATAAATCCGCAAATCACATTACCAGAGAAACTACTATTCTAAGTTGGCATTTTTCAGATAGAAAAATCTTATTTTAATATTTTGTATTCTCGATTTTGATCGTTATTTTATAGTCCACAGAGACCGAAATATATTTTAAATAAATTTGGAACAAATCTACTTTATTTAATCTAAAGAGGTTTGGTCCATCATCATTACCGAATTTTAAAAATATCTAAAATTTTTGCTTAGAATTTTTATGTGAAAGATGGATCCCATGTCAGGCTGTAACATCCATCTTGTGTTTACATTACCGCCCAGAGACAGTACACTGCAGTACAAAAGATGCGTACACTTATGAAATAACTTTCCTTGCATTACATCCTTGGAACTGACGAGAGTCAACACAGACCGAAATATATTTTAAAAAGAATTTGGAACAAATCTACTTTAAAAGTATCTATATTATTGTTGCTTAGAATACAATGTCGATTTTTGTCTGTTCGTCTGTCTGTCTGTTAACATATCTGTCAACTAATTCATTATAATTGATCAAGAATTCTGCCAAATTCTTAAACTTTCAAACTTGAAATCTATTCCGTTGATGATCTCAGAGAGAAATCTCAGACTGAGGGTGTGGCACGAGGGGGGAGGGGGTAGGGGGGTCGCGTCCCCATTTTTTTCTACGAAATATGTTAATAACGTTATAAAAGCAAAGACTCTACACTGAGAGTGTTTAACGAGTTATAACACAGTATCGTAATTTGGAATATCTACTTTTCATCATTCTTTAAACTATTCTTCAATTTGTAAAGATTTAATAAAATATCAAAATAATTCCACAATGTTTCAGAACTTTTTTCTCTTACAATTCAATTTAATATTTTTAAGATTAAATATCATTTTTTAAACATTTTTTTTTATATTTGTGCATTCATGTTTTTCCGGAAGTAGATAATAAATAATTATTGAATGCTTGAATTCACATTTAAAGCGGTATATTTCAGTTTATGATTATTGACCGTTTCTTTTGAATTGATTTGTAAAATCACAGGAAGAGGTTTTAAATGGATTTAACCTTGAATTTTCAAGTATTTATCTCCGGAAAACACTGGAATAAAACTCATTTGGGTTTTCCAAAACATAATCTTTGACATGACAGAATTTAGCTATAAATTGTATACAGGGATTGTAGTTCCATTCAAAAAAGAACTATTTTCTGGAGACAAAAAGAAAATTTTCAAACAGAAAAATGACCAAATCTTTTTCAATTTTGATCCGATAAAGTTTAAAAGATATCGTTTTTAAAAGATATTATGTTGTTTTTATTTTATTTTTTACTTAGAAAAGGACGACTAAAATTTTATAATTTATAATATTATAAAAATGATAGATAGATAGATATATAGATAGATAGATAGATAGATAGATAGATAGATAGATAGATAGATAGATATAGACAATAGCGAGATACATAGATAGACAAATGTATTAAGTTGGATAGAATAATAGATAGATAGATAGAATGATAGATATAACTGGAAAGTTAGATATCAAATTTGATAGATAGAGATTGAAATCTAATGAGATAGATAGAAAGAATTAGAAAGTTAAAAAGATAGATAGACACAGCTAGAAAGTTAAAAAGATAGATAGACACAGCTAGAAAGCTAAAAAGATAGATAGACACAGCTAGAAAGCTAGAAAGATAGATAGACACAGCTAGAAAGTTAGAAAGATAGATAGATAAACGGATTACCTTAGGCTCGGGGCAAGGTCTCTAGATGTATCAGGCATAAAGGCAGAAACAGGCCTTTCTCCTCTAGAGCTATCTATCTATCTATTTTTATCTATCTATATATCTATCTATTTATCTATCTATCTATCTATCTATCTTTTTATCTATCTATCTATCTATCTATCTATCTATCTATCTATCTATCTATCTATCTATCTATCTATCTATCTATCTATCTATCTATCTATCTATCTATCTATCTATATATATATCCATCTATCTATCTATTTATCTATCTATGTTTCAACTGATATATCTATCTATCAAATATACATTTTACCTATCTTTTTGATAATCTAACCAAATTTGTCTAGCTCAAGCCTATGCCACCTATACACCTAAATCATTTAAAGTTATATTTGCTTCATGTCACTCCTATTTCTATCCTAGCCGCAGAACTCTGCTCCCTAGTCTATTCTAGCTCAAGCCTATGCCACCTATACACCTAATCATTTAAAGTTATATTTGCTTCATGTCACTCCTATTTCTATCCTAGCCGTAGAACTCTGCTCCCTAGTCTATTCTAGCTAAAGCCTTTAGCACTTTTTTGCAACCTGTGGTGTAACATAAACAGCTTTGGAAGTTAAAAATAAAAAATGAAAATGTGCGGATTTTTCTAAATGCGTTGGAGCATTTTTGCAATTTTGGATAGGTTAATAATCTAGGAGCATGGAATATAAGGAAGATGGAATAGACCCGGCCCGCCCTTTCATATGATTATGATGTTTTGCAGACGGGGTTCTTCATTTGAATTATTTTTAAAAGGTCGTCTTTTAATTTTTTTAAAATATGTTTTTTACAATACCATATTAAATAAAACCAACTTTTTTGCATCCCAAAAAATGTATAGGTTCGCGTTATTCAGCCTAATTTTTACCCTGTTTAATGCATAAAGTAACCTATTCTGAATAAATGTATAGGTTCGCGTTATTCAGCCTAATTTTTACCCTGTTTAATGCATAATGTAACCTATTCTGAATAAATGTATAGGTTCGCGTTATTCAGCCTAATTTTTACCCTGTTTAATGCATAATGTAACCTATTCTGAATAAATGTACGCAGTGTACATCAGTTCAAGTACCGCCTGCGAAGCATGTATAATCAAATGGTAGGGCGGGCCCGGTCGATTCCTTCTCCCCTATATTCTATACTCCTTGGAAATAATGGATAAGAAAATGAAGAATTTTATTCCTCACTAGGTACTCAGGTTTTATGTTTAAATAAACTTCACGGATTCAATGTCAAGAGGCCAAGGACGTATTATTTCTTGAGTTTTATTTACCAGGAGGGGAGGGGGAAATCAGGATTCAGAAAGAAGGCGGGGGGGCAGGTTTAGCAGGTTCAAGAAAGATTCGGAGGACTAATTAAGGGGTTGAGTGTAAAGACGTTAGCCTGAGGTCTAACTCTAGGATTAAGTGTAGTGTACAGTTTACCGTCGGTCGGAGCGGTTCTTCACACAGATATTTTTAATTTCGATTTTTTTAATGAAGGGTTCAAACGAATAAGAAAGAAAATACTTCACCCTAGGCTTTCGAGGATTTGTGATAAGGCACAACTACATGGAAAAGGAATTTAGTTTTTGCCAAAAAAATTTCTAATCCCCATATCTTTGCTACCTGATAGTGAAGACATCGGGTTGCAAAGATATAAGGATTAAAAAAATCTGAGTTTGTGGAAAAAACTCAGCTCACTTGCGGATTTTCTTAAATCCGAAAAGTTTGAATTTTTAAATTAGGTTGACAAGCCTTTTAATTATAGCAACTTTGCTTTTTAAACAATGAAAAAACATAATTTAGAAAGTTTATATTTCTTTTCAACCAGACTTTTAACTAAAATTAGTGAATTTCAATTTTTTTGAATGATTATTATGATAATATTTAAACAATTGTAATTTTGGAAAAGCTTTGAAGGGTTTGTAGCTAATAAGTTATATATTTTTGCTGAAATTATTAAATCTTTCAAACTTTATCGCAAAAATTAAATAATTGTTGAACTGTGGTTTAAATTATTTTAATCATTGATCTATCAACTCAATTATAAACTTGCCAGTTCTGTTAATTGTACAGGAAGAATGTCAACATTGCAGTACAATTAAGTTCAGTGGCGTATTCAGGATTTTAGCCAGGGGGGGGGCATTGTTTTGTTTAAAAAGTCAATTAACACCATAAAAATACACCAAAAAGGCTACATTTTTGGGTGGTTACTAACCTTATAGAGTCTAAAAATTATTCCTTTGCTCGAAAAACTAACTTTAACCTTTTAACTTTATAAATTTATCACTTAACTCCATCACAGCTAACTAAATCAATAATCACAGCAGCATTAAAAAATTATATTTTTATTAATAAACGAAATTTCTTCTGACATTTTTAGATAGAATTTACTCCATCTACATATTCACTAACTCTTTTAAGCTTCAATTTTCTGGGATTTGCTTGCACAAACATTTCAATGATTTTTTTCAGTAGAGAGCTCAGACAGCCTTGTAGGGTGTAAGGCCAAGTCTGCTAAGTAAGACGACATTTATATAATTTAGTTAAAAGTATCCAAGTTAAAAGTCCTCTTGCCCCCCCTGGAACTCCCAGGGGGGGCAAGAGGACTACTGCCCCCCCGGAATACGCCACTGATTAAGTTTGTACTATTCCTTCTGCTAGAGTTTCTATGCTTGCAACATCATTCGTTGGAGGGGCAAGGGGAGGGGGGGAAGAGAGGAAATATTCAAGGGGGTGGGGGTCTGGGTATAGGAAATACATGTGTTCAGCATTCCTGCAATGAGTATGCATACTGCATGCATACTGCATGAATATTGCATTTGCCTTAAATATACATGAAGATAATATTGTTGACAGGAAATACCTGCACTTTGACATGTTGCACTTTGGTGCATTGGGCATATTTGAATTTTTAAAAGGAACTGTAAACGGATTTTTAGTTGCCTTTTATTTGAAAGTAAATCTTAGCAAAAATAGTTAAGAGATGTCATCTAAGTCATCTAAGTCATCGACAGACCCTGTAAACAGCCAAAACAAAACATAGACGTTAAGCAACGGAAGCTTTAAAAACTTAATCTGTAAAAAAGTGTTGAAGATAATGTAGTTTTTTTTGGCTTGTAAAGTGTTTAAAACCTCTTCTCCATTAAAAAAATTCCCTTTTGCAGAGAAGCCACAAGTTAATATAAACAGGTTTTAATAACAAAAAATTGGATATCTAAACCATACTTGAACAGAAAAAATCTTTTAATTGAGATCATCAAATATCTAATATAAATATTTAAATTAAAATTCAACCAAGTGAACAGTATGTTTGAATAGATAGATATGCAAATATATTTTATTTTATTTGGTCAGTTACTGTGAAATTTTTTTTTGTAAAAGAATATGACAATTCAGAACATGAAAGAGGAAGAATAAATTAGGAGAAGGGTTAGAGGGAGGGGGGGTAAAAAGGGTTAGAAGGGGGGGGGGGGGAAGAGGTTTTGTTTTATATTCCTTCGATTTCCAAACTCGCATTGTTTCAATAATTTTGCAAGTTTATGATTGACTGAGTTTGCAAAACAGTGAGTTTCGTGAAATTAACATTATCGACAAAAACCCGCATTTTCAATTTACAAATGTTTTTGTAATCAATTGTATGATGAATTAGATGATGACAACTTGTGTAACATGAGCGACAGCCCAATAAAAATATAAATTGACCTTGGATGGTTTTAGTTGAGAATTGTTAAGTCTTATTCTAATCAAACCCAGGAATCCCAATTTTAGCCATGAAAATCCGCCAAATACAATATTAAACCGGTTATAAATGTGGAAAACTCGTTAAAACTTAAATCCCAAAGATCAAGTCTTAAATTAGTATCAGGTTTCCTTAGGCCTTAACAGGGTATTATATATAATTGCATTATTTTTTTTATTATCAAATATAATAATAATTTCAGAATGAAGAGTATTCTGGCTCTTCTAGTGACCGGCGCTCTAGCCCAGCGGCCTGCCAGGTACATATCTATCTACCTATGTTAATCAATCAAATTAGTTAATCAAAAGTGTATAGTTCGAATTTTCTTTCAAAACCCAAAACTAATTCACTATACTCAATTTTGTGCTTAACCAATTCATTAATAAGATTAAAAATATTGTTATTGTAATCATAAAACCAATTATTTCAAATTAAAGTACGTAAAAATCAAACATCTTCACTCATCTTTTTTTAACAATTCTTAGTTTCTTTTTTAGTTAGTTTTCAGTTGATAAAAATGATAATAAGAATTAAAATAATAAAATAATTTAAAGCATTCATCAATTCGATTAATAAATCAATTTCAGGATTGGACCTGATGGCAAACCTCTGCTTAATAGACCTGTTCTTGACGAATGCATGAAAAGTAGGATTTTTTATATATTTTTTTTTTTTACAATTTCCATTCTATTCTTTTCTATTCTATTCTATTTTATTCTATTCTATTCTATTCTATTCTATTCTATTCTATTCTATTCTATTCTATTCTATTCTATTCTATTTTATTCTATATTCTATTCTATTCTATTCTATTCTATTCTATTCTATTCTATTCTATTCTATTCTATTCTATTCTATTCTATTCTATTCTATTCTGTTCTATTCTAGGGAAATCCCACATGAAAGTTGGAAATCACAACTATTTTCTTTCCTGGAGAGAACCTTGGCATAAATTTGAGGTAATTGTGAGATTTAAATATTTACACTTTTTTATAAAAAAAACGTTCTTTCCATTAACAAATTATGATAATTCTTACATGTTTTCTTGCAATAAGAATGCGCAAGTCACTTTTGTAGAGAAACCACAATTTAAAGTTATCAGTTTTCAAAATCATATTTTATAAACATATATCCTTTAATATAAAATGTCAAAGACCTTTAATTTCAAATTGTAAAATATGCAAGAGCAAGCGTTTCTTTGAAATATCAAGGATAAACCACGTGGATTTAACGGTTCTGTCAATATTTCGGAAAGCTGTGACTTTCGATCAAAATTTGACAATAAAATAAATAAATCTTAAGTTTAAAGATTGTTGAATTATAGACCAAAACACGTTTGATTTCCAATAAAAGAAACCGAATGCTTCTCACTCTGGTTAGTCCATAGGTAAACGCTATCAGGTTGCATAGATATAGGGTTGAAAAAATTACAAAACTCATCTCGGAAAAAATCCAATCCTTGCAAGGCCTTGATTCACTTCAATCTAGATTCTGGACATTTTTGCAAATAATTTTGGTATAAAATGAGTGACCTTCCAGAGTTGTAGATCCAGTATCAATTTGACGCTTAAGACATATTTAGTTGCAAATTAAAAATTGCAAACAATTTTTTTATTCCATTTAAAATGAGAATAACGATTGAAAATGTTTGAATCTAAAATGAAAGAAATTGAGTTTTTGCCAAAATTTCAGATGTTTTAAATACTCAGTTCTTTGCAACCAGATTTCGTAGACCTGATGAAATAGTGTAAGTTTGAAATAGCAAAGGTCTATACGATCAGGTTGCAAAGATATAGGGATTAGAAAATTTGATTTTGAGGCAAAAACTAAATTCCTTTGCTTTAAAATTGTTGTGTTCTATGCTAGGACTGGGACTGGTTCAACGGGAGAAACTTTTGCCGGGACAGATGCATGGACCTTGTCAGCTTCGACACCCCGGGGGAGTACAAGATGTTCGAGGAGATATTTAGACAAGGTAGATAGATAGATAGATAGATAGATAGATAGATATATAGATAGAGAGTATATCATTAATACCCAAAGTTACGATACTGGTTTTTGTGACATTCAAGTCTCCGGTTGAACTCGTCGTAAAAACTGCTTTAATTAGATCTGCATAGGGAAATTTTAAATTCAAGGATAAAGAAGATATTAACCTTTAACATTAAAATAAGTTTTATGTCTGCACAAAGTATGTGTCGTGATATAATCTTTACTAGCCATAGAGGGCGCTTCGCGCCCATTTTCTAAATTAATTGTGAACATGTTCTCTTTCTGTACATCGTAAAACAAAACAAAAATAATTCGCGGATTTTCACAAAAAATTTTGCGGATTTTCAAAATTTTCAAAAATTTAATGATGATCGAATTTTGGTGGAGACAAATATTTAAAATTTTGATCATTCATAAACCTTCCCTGTGGTCACGTGAGGTCCCACAAAAAAATTGGACCCGATCGGTTCAGCCGTTTTGACGTTTATTGGATACAAACAAACAGACAAACAGACAGACAAGCCAAATTTATATATAGATGGTGAATATTTAATTATGTTCATAATTTGATTTGTCTTTGAAAAATATTATTTTTAAAATGTTTTTCTCTATTTGTATCAAAATAAAAAAAAATAAAAGATTGGTATAATTATTCATATAAAAAGTTTGCTATATTTGAGTCTATCAGTTTGATAAACATACCTAAAAGTTTAAATTGAAAAATATGAAAATCTTATTAATTTTAATTATCAAAGTGTTATGTGCCCGGATGGGGATATATAAAAGTTTTATTAATGACTAGCGTTGGCCAGGGTAGTCATTTTTAGTCCCACCGTTTACCCGCGCTTTGTCGTGAATTACGACTATGGCTATTTTTCCTTATAAACCCCACTCAATTTAAGACCTCAAAACAAAGTTAAGAACATTCCCGTGGTTCTCTCGAGTTCCCTAATCAAAATATTTGTTTTGCAATACTAACAAATTGATAGCCAATTATATCAGATTGATACGTAAGAATTCTATCAAAATCTTCGTGTTTTCTTCAATATTTCGAACAACGATTATTTTTTTGTTTAGATAATATTTCCAGTATCTGGACAAGTGGAAGAACTTCCAGAATAAGGGATGTGATGGAGCACATTTGCAGGTTGATAAAAATAGATAATACAGAAGTGGGAGGGGGGGGGGGAGGATTTAAAAACGTAAAAAGTGTATATAAATATTCTTTAGTCTATTATTGTGAAAGGGGTATTAATTTTCTTTAAATTGTCTTGAAATTAAGGGGGAGGGTAAGGGCGGTTAGGATTTTAAACAAATCTTAGGTAAAATAAAAAAAAACGCGCCTAGACCCCCCGCTCCTTCAAGAAAATTCGAGCCTCAGTGGCTATTTATCTATTCTAATCTAAACTAACGTTTACAAGTGCGGGTATATCTTCAAATGGGAGGGGGCTAGAGTTCATATTAAATAGAATATTAATTTATATTTAAATTTTAATATTTTTAGCCAATCATTGTGAATGGGTGGTTCTGGGCAGGAGCCAGTAATGCCCGTATTCCTTCTACAGATCGTCCTGATCCTCAAGCATTCTGGAGCAACACCGGAGAGTAAGTTTAACAGATTCTAGATCAATTAAAAGCACTATTCTGGAGCAACACCGGAGAGTAAGTTTAACAGATTTTAGATCAATTAAAGGGACTGTTCTGGAGCAACACCGGAGAGTAAGGTTAACACTTTTTTCCACTAGAAAGAAAAAACGGTTTTAGTGATTATGCTTTAGAGACTACTATGCGAAATTTATTAATTTCTTAAATTCTTTAGTTTCTGCAAAACCATGATATTCTTATTTTTTAAAATCATTTCATTAATATTATTTTTATTGAAAGAGATACAACTCAATTTTTTTATTGTTATATTTAGATAAGCTTTGGTCGTTTAGCGGGTAGCGTATACGGATAAAAAGTGCACTTGCCTTCTTTTTTTCAGTACAAAACTGGTTCAAGTTTATTATTTCATCTAATTTCGGAGAGTTCTTAATAAATAAAACAAAAAGTAAAATTTGTTTCTTCTTCAAAGAAATTGAGTCTTTGCCACTAATCAATTTTTCTCATCCCTATATCCCTGCAACCTGATGGCGTAAACCTGTGATATTTTAAACAAAGATTTTATGATCTAACAGAATTCATTGTTTGACATATCTAAGGTCTACAACATCGGGTTGCAATGATATAGAGATAAGAAAATAAGCGTTTGTGACAAAGACTCAATTTTAACTTCCATACTTTGGATAAAAAGTGACAAAAACAATTTCAAAATATTTATTTTTGTATTTTTTGTAACGGTAAAATAGAACACAGAAGTAAAATTTCATTTTCGTATTGAGACAATAATTAATTATTTTTGGTTGTTTTCCAGATTATCAAATTCACAGTTATTTTAAGAGTTATCCAATTTATTATTAATTTTTATTTGTTTGAACTTATTTAGGAAATATGAATAACAAACTAAAATTAATCAATTAATAGAAACATTTAAAATATTGTTAAACAAACGCGATCAGACTTTAGGTTGAATTTACTTTTACTAAAGGGTCAGGGGTGCGTGCGTGCAATGTGATGATGGAGAGGGGGGGGGGAGGGATTAATACATTTCTATGATTAAACGCTAGACCTTGACAACTGAATCAATATATTTATCGATGCAGATAGCAAAGTATAAATGAAGGTTACAAATTTATCATTACTAAAAGATATCAAAAGATAAAAACAAATTTAAATTCACGGAAAATAGAGTTTTATAATATTAAAAGATTGAAATATATTGTTGAAAAAACCTACCGTACACATTATTTTATGATATATCCTCTTCTTCTCCTTATATCCTTTGAACATTATTTTTCGAACAAGCAATGTTATTTTTGATCAAAAATCCTAGTATTTTTCTCAATTTTACTGATTTTACGTTAAAAAAATGAGTCGTTGCCACATTTTCTAATCCATATTTCTTTGCAACCTGATAGTGCCAGCCTTTGATATTTAAAACTTAAATTATTTGATCTAACATAAATCATTAGATTGCAAAGATATAGGAATTAAAAAATCAGATTTTGTGGCAAAGCACTGTAAAAACATTCAAGTACCGGGCCCATTTTTAATCAGTTAAATAATAAAAAATTCTTTTATTATTTATTTTAGAATTGGTAAACCACAGCCAGATAATTACGAGGGAGAGAAGGAAGGACCAATAACAGCTGACAATAATATCGGTAATTATATTACTTTTAATGTTCTTAGTATCATTATTATCATCATTATTATCATCATCCTTATTATTATTATCATTATTTTCATCATTATCATCATTATCATCATTATCATCATTATCATCATTATCATCATTATCATCATTATCATCATTATCATCATTATCATCATTATCATCATTATCATCATTATCATCATTATCATCATTATCATCATTATCATCATTATCATCATTATCATCATTATCATCATTATCATCATTATCATCATTATCANTCCACATTTATTGAAAATATATTTCGGTCTGGGTTGACCCTCGTCAGTTCTTGAGATTGTTTCTTCACAAATTATTATTATTATTATTATTATTACAATTATTATTATTATTACTATTATTATTATTATTTTTATTATTATCATTAATTAAATTCATTATTCCAATTGACAGCAATCTATGTTTTCACGTTTAATATTTTAATCAGGATAAAGAAAACAATAAAATAAAATTTTATTTAATTTTTTTTCAGATATTGATTCACTTCCTGAACTTCCTATCACTGCCCCCGCCCCTCCTCCCCCTGCTCCAGTCCAGTAAGAATTACTTTTTTTTAAAAATATTTGATTTTAATATTAAAATAAGATTGTAATATTTATAACTAATATTGTTTATACGTAACTCTTTAAAGGGATTACAAAGCTTACGTAAAACTAAAAATGATTGCAAGAAAGATTAAAATTCTCAATCTCTCAAGCATAACACCTCTATTATTCAATTTTTATATCGCAATTTCATGATCTTGGGTATAAAAAGTTACTTATTTGTTCTGAGGCAAATTAGTAACATGAAACTTGAATTGAATAAATTTATGTGTCTTGTGTTTTTTGTTGTGAGTTTTACTTTTTTGTTTGGTTTCGGTTAAATTTAAGATTTTTAATGGCTCACTACCTCTGTGATTAAAAATCTTGAATATTAATCCTGGCCAATAAACTCAATGCAGTTGCATTAATAGATAATTAAAGAGCTATTGAAAAGAACAAAAGTGTTTTAAATTTTAATTTTCTAATATGAACAGAATAAATTTGCTGTTCTCATACTCTAGAGGGCGTTTTGCAAAAAATGATCACATTAAAATTTGCGTATCTTAAAAGCTGTTTTATTAATTTTTCAAGTGTATTAATTTTCCAAATTTATATAATTGATAATTAAAAACATTTCTAATTTTTTTTTATTTAGGGTTCAGCCTGCAGTACAGTTTCAGCAGGTTAGATTTAAATATTTATTTATTCATTTTCATGTATTCATTTATTCATTCCTTTCTGTATCCTAATTAATTCATCTATTCATTCTTCTTTTCATCCTTTCTTCCCATTCTGCAATCTACAATCTGCAATCTGCAATCTGCAATCTGCACCCTTTCATTCATTTTTGCATTTATTTATTGCATTCATCCTTTCATTTACCTATTCATCTATTCATCTATTGAACGAAGAATTCGACTCCAAATTGAATTAAGAATTTCAGTTCAACTCCATTTGAACTTAACACTTCACCTCCATTTAAACTAAGTAGTTCACCTCCATTTCAATGAAGTGCCTCACCTGCATTTACCTCCATTTACACTATGCACTTCACCTTCATTCAATGTAAGCACAAAACCTTCACTTAAATCACGTAGTTCACCTCCAGTAAACTAAACCCTTCACCTCCATTTAAACCATGTACGTAGTTCACCTCCAGTAAACTAAACACTTCACCTCCATTTAAACCATGTACGTAGTTCACCTCCAGTAAACACTTCACCTCCATTTAAACTATGTACGTAGTTCACCTCCAGTAAACACTTCACCTCCATTTAAACCATGTACGTAGTTCACCTCCAGTAAACTAAACCCTTCACCTCCATTTAAACCATGTACGTAGTTCACCTCCAGTAAAAACTTCACCTCCATTTGAACCCAATGCTTCACCTCCATCTAAAGTTAAGCACTAAAATTTCATATAAAATTACGAATTTCACCTTCTTTAAAGTTACGCATTTCAGCGTCCACCTCCAAGTTTCAATCCCTCCAACCTCCCTCCTCCTCCACAACAGGCCCCCCAGGTATACGCATATTTTGCGTATTCACGCAAACACACACACACTCATGACAACTCCTGCTTGGAAAAAAGACAAATATTTGCGTAGTTTTATATATTTGAGAAATTTACGCAAATATTTGTTTTTGCATTTAATCCTTCTCTGAACCACATTCTGTAAACTCATTTCCTTGTTCTAAACAATCCAGGAATTCGGAGACCTAAACCTACTGATAATGGAATGCTGCAGATGTTTTTAATCAAATAATTATATGGGGCTCTTTAATCCTGTTCCCGCATATTGGCTATTTATTTATTTTTACAATAACTCAGATTTAGCTATAATAGTATAAAACCCATTGACAAATTTTCAAGACGACATTTTATAAATTCGTTCGATGTTTCCGAATTTCTGGGTTAAAGCGTCTCCAGATAATATTACTTTTATTTGGAGAGAATATATGCAAGAGTGGACTAGGCAGACGACACATAATTAATCTTAATTTAAAATCAATATACACAGCATTATTTCTGTGTTTTGTGTCCATTTAAAATCAAAATTAGAATTTTACTGTCGTCTGCCTATTCCAAAATTTTACGGGATTCAGTATATTTATATAAATTTAGTTATAACTTATCTTATCTTCTTTGCTTCTGTCTTTCTAATGCAATTATAAAGACCATACGACTTCAACATATAAAAATATCTTAAGTAAAACCACAAATACTATAGAATAATATATAATATGTACTGCAGTTCCTGAATAAAATGTAAACATGTTTACATTCCTTTCAAAAACTTTGTCTTTTTATGTTTTATAATGTTAGGAAAACTAACAAATGAATTGGCATTATTTCTTTGTAAACCAAATCAATTATTTTTTCCCACAAAATATGATTTAATTTGAAAAAAGAAAATTTAAAATTTTTTTTTTTAAACCTTGAAAGAACAAATTGAATATTACATGATGAATTCGAACTAATGTCTTTTTAATATCAATTAATTCAACATAGTATAATATATTATAATTTGAAATTATTCCTAAATGGATGATACATAGTATAATATATTATAATTTGAAATTATTCCTAAATGGATGAGAAAAACCTATATTTTGATAATTTACAAAAACTTTATTCTTGTTTCAGAACTCCTTCAACACTGCAGGAAACTTTAACGGGGTCCCGGTAACAATTTTTATAAAAAAATGAAAAATTGCGAAAGTATGAATAATTCAAAAAAAGTCTCAGTTTTAAATAAAATTTATGTTTAGTGACCATTCATTTAACAAATGGCATGTCCGATTTCTATCGGTACTTTGAATAGATTTGTCTGATAAGGAGTGAATGAGCTATTAATGAATTTTCTATTTAAAATTGGTTTTTTCGTTTGTGGTTTTCGTAAGATTGATTTGGGGCATATGCAACCTTTGCTTGGAGGGTCTTTCGAAAAAAAATCAAATTTTTATTCTTTATTTTATTTTTATTTTTAGCCTCCCCAGTTCCAGCAGCGACCTATTCAAACCGTTCAAAGCGTTTCACGGCCCCAGCGCCCCGTACAGTCCAGACCCACTGGAGTTTTTGGAGGTAAATTTACACTCCGGGATGCCGGACTGGTCCGCCCATACTCGTACCGGCACGACCATATTTTGTGTACTGTAATGTACAACATAAAATCAAGGAGTATGAAATAGAAGGGAGATACAAAGGAGATACCATATGATTATGGATGCTTTGCAGACGGTACTCCATTTATATAAGAAATATTCAGAATAGGTTATTGTATACGCGGTAATTGTACATCAGACAAATATTTCTTATGCAAATGAAGTATCGTCTGCAAAGCATGTATTATCATATGGTAGGGCAGGCCGCGTCAGTTGTATCTCCCTTCTATTTCTTACTCCTTGCATATAATCCACAAGATACGATTACCAAAAATAAGACAGGAGTAAATATAATCCATATAATCCACAAGATACGATTACCAAAAATAAGACGGGAGTAAATATAATCCACAAGATACGATTACCAAAAATAAGACAGGAGTAAATATAATCCATATAATCCACAAGATACGATTACCAAAAATAAGACGGGAGTAAATATAATCCACAAGATACGATTACCAAAAATAAGACAGGAGTAAATGTGCTAAATTTGTTTCATCCTTCTTCTACATTTATGTTGTAAACTTGCTTCTTACTTTTTAACTTGTTTATTTTGATATTTAAAAACCAGGACCAGGACGTCATCATTCATCAATATCATAAACATAATGCTAATGCAAGTATTTAAAAACCAGGACCAGGACGTCATCATTCATCAATATCATAATCATACTGCTAATGCAAGTATTGTGATTTGCATTTAAAACTTTAGAATTTCACTGTGAAACAGTTTTTTAAAGAGTTTTTATTTGAACTTTCACAATTTATAACGTTGCATAAAAAACGATAAGATTATATAGATATTGCTTAAAGAATATATAGATAAAGTAATATAATCGATCATCAAATACACTTAATTATTGTATTCCTATTCCACAGTTTTCTTGTAATCACTGCACTAGGCTTTAAATTAAAAACAAACATTAATTTTTTTCAGGTCTTTTTAACGGACTTAGACTTCCTTTCTTCCGGTACTAGAACCCTGCTACACTGGAATATCCGGTACTAGAACCCTGCTACACTGAAATATCCGGTACTAGAACCCTGCTACACTGAAATATCCGGTACTAGAACCCTGCTACACTGGAATATCCGGTACTAGAACCCTGCTACACTGGAATATCACGAAATGAAAAATTTTGCATCAAATTTTTTCCTATTTATCTCAACTTTATTTATTTATTTATTTGTTGAAGAAAAAATCTCGCCCGAAACAACTTTCTGAATTGTAAGTCGATTGATTGATTGATTGATTGATTGAATTAGAAAAATCTACAGCATTGAAGTAATCAATAACTGTAGAGTTATATTTACTTGTTTTTATATTCGAATAAAATTTCACTCTAGCGTTTATTGTTTTATTTTTCAACAACTGAAAGTGAAGGTTCAAACGGAAACAAAGAAATCACACAAAACCACACAAAATAATAAGGTCAAAATTATGTGAACATGACTTAGTGACCTCGTAGCTCCTTTAGTTTTAGTTTTCCGTTTGTTTTAAACAAATAAATTCTTAAAAATTATTTCTGTTTGTTCACGAAGAAATAAGGTTGACGTGGTCAGACTTTATGTTGAATTTACTTTTACTGAAGGGTCAGAGGTGCGTGGAGATATTTCTTGTTATTCTTATTATGTTGATAAGGTTTATTATAATACTCATGATACATTAAGAATGACTGACTTTCTTTAATTCGAAAACGAGAAAACAGCTAGACATTATATTAGAAATGATGCGCGAAGCGCCAAAGAAAAAATTTGGTATTTTTTGAACTGGCAAAATTTGATAAATGATGGTCCACGATCATGATGAGATTGAAAAGAAATAAGATTTCAATCTGTCGATCAATTTACTTATATTCTTCCATGCTTAATATGTGTTTATCACTTATATTCTTCCATGCTTAATATGTGTTTATCACTTATAAACACGGTTTCGTTAGAATTTTGTTACGCTTGTTTACAGCTATTGTACACGGAGAGGAATCGAGTTTTTGCCACAAACTCAAATCTTCTGATCCCAATATCTTTGGAACCTGATGGTGCAAACCTTTGATATTTCAAACTTAGATTATTTTATCTATAAGAATTAATAGTTTGAAATATCTATGGTTTACGACATTGGGTTACACAAATGTAGAGATTAGAAAATCAGAGTTTGTGGCAAAAAATCAATTCCTTTAAGGGAAATTAAGGGAATTTAAGAGAATTTAAGGGGAATTAAGGGAAGGTAAAAGAATTGAAGGGAGCTCAAGGGAATTTAAGAGAATTTAAGGAAGTTCAAGGGAATTTAAGAGAATTTAAGCGAATTTATGAGAATTAAAAAGAATTTAAGGGAATTCAAGGGGATTTAAGGGAAATTAAGGGAATTTCAGAGAAATTGAGGGAGTTCAAGGGAATTTAAGAGAATTTAAGGGAATTTAAGCGAATTTATGAGAATTTAAAAGAATTTAAGGGAATTCAATGGAATTTAAGGGAAATTAAGGGAATCTAAGAGAAATTGAGAGAGTTCAAGGGAATTTAAGGTAATTTAAGGTAATTTAAGGTAATTTAATAGAATTTAAGGGAATTCAAGAGAATTTAAGGGAATGTATGGAAATTTAAGGGAATATAAGGGAATTTAAGGGAATTTAAGGGAATTTATGAGAATTTAAAAGAATTTAAGGGAATTCAATGGAATTTAAGGGAAATTAAGGGAATCTAAGAGAAATTGAAGAAGTTCAAGGGAATTTAAGGTAATTTAAGGTAATTTAAGGTAATTTAATATTTAAGGGAATATAAGAGAATTTAAGGGAATGTATGGAAATTTAAGGGAATATAAGGGAATTTAAGGGAATATAAGGAAATGTAAGGGAATATAAAGGAATTTAAGGAAATATAAGGGAATTTAAGGGAATGTAAGGGAATTTAAGGGAGTTCAAGGGAATTTAAGGGAGTTCAAGGAAGTTCAAGGGAATTTAAAGGAATTTCTCTTAATCAAGGGTTCCCAAGACCAGTTTTGTCATTAAGCCAAAATTGGCAAAGGAACACGCTGCTATGTGAAATTTTCATATATATTGTATAATAAAACAAGACATTGGTATATATATATATATATATATATATATATATATATATGTTGCCTAATGCCGGCCAAACGGCTGGACTGAATGGGCTGAAACTTTTTGTGGACACTCATGGGTGGCTAGATATAGGCTAAATATAGGCTAAACAAAATCGAAATATTTGTTTTCCACATTCTTTTTTTCAAAATTTTTTACCACGGGCAACGCCGGGCCCTTCAGCTAGTATTGTGTAAAGTAAATAAAATTGGAATTAAAGTTAATATACAGATTTTCTCTGCTGTCAAAATACAGGGTGGCTAAAAAAACGTGGAATAAGGTTCTACAGAATCTACAGAATCGGATTTCCAAGATTGAGACCATTTTTAAAATTTACTTGCAAATTCAATAAGCCCAATTTTAGGCTTGTAGATCTAATCTAAAATGATAATTTTAAAGGCTCCTAATAGTTTCCAACTGGATTGAGTAATTTGGTAAAAATAAGATAATCTCCGTTTGCACAATTTTGTATAAGGGTCTACGAACTTGCTTGTCATTGGAATTAAAAGATTGAGACCATTTTTGATATCTACGTACAATTACCGATTCAATGAGTCTAACTTTACGCTTGTAGTTCTAAAAATAACAATTTTAATGGCTCCTAAAGTTTCCAACTAGAGCGAAGTAAAAAGTATCCCTATTGTTTTCCATATTTTGCAGAGAAACCATAGACTCTAGTATGGCGAGTCCATAAGCGCCTGATCCAATCAGGGTTCAGTCATGTGTTTGTTGTTTATTCTGAACCAAAAGAAATAGTATTGCGATAACATCTATCTATCTATCTACCTCATTATCCAATTAGAGATAAATCCTTATATCAGCGCTATCAGTAAATGGAAATATTTACTACAGGGCGAACGATTTGTTTTGGGTCCCCCCCCCTTGGCAACATTGTGCCTCCCCTTAAAAAACCCTTTTTTGAAAAAATATTGATACCGTTTTTAATTTTTTTTTGCCCCCCCCCCCCCACCTGGACTTGGGTGTTACAAACCTTTTAGAGTCTAAAAATTATTCCTTTGGTTGAAAAACTAACTTTTTACTTTATAACTTTATCACTCAACTCCATCACAGCTAACTAAATCACAGCATCAATAAAAATTATATTTTCACTAATAATACGAAATTTCATCTGAAATTTTTAGATAGAATTTACTCAATCTACATATTCATCAACTCTGTTCAGTTAAGCTACAATTTTCTGGGATTTGCTTACACAAACATTTCAATGATTTTCTCAGTAGAGAGCTCAGACAGCCTTATAGGGTGTAAAGCTATAAGTGCAAGATCGTTAAGTCTGCTCTCCGTCATAGTACATCTTGTGTAATGAAGTATTCTCGTTAGAAGGCTAAAACTTTTCTCTCCTTGTCTTGTATTAACAGTGAATTTAGACAAATCCTTAATCTTTGTCATTGTCAGGTGTTACTTTTTAAACGTAGTTTTCTTTTCATTTTGTATTTTCCAGGGGGGGGGGCAGGGCCCCGCCTGGAAATCTCAGGGGGCAAGAGGACTACTGCCCCTGCCCTAGGTGTGCCACTGTACCTGGCCTGAGGGAGGGAAATGCAAGCAGATGTAATATTAAAACGTATAAAATGCCTTTTTTGCTGAAAAATAGGTGAATTTTTTTATAAACATAGGTATGTATGGTAGTCAGCAGATATTTTTCCTAAAAAAGTATCAGAAATTTTTGGAAAAATCTTTATAAATAATAAAATATTTAGCAAGAAATTCAACTGTAAAACTCTTTAAACTACATCTTTATATTCTCTAAGGCTTGCTTAAGCTTTTTGTCTAGGAAGTGAGGGTAGTTTTTAATTTAAATAAAATTCTTGAATAAATGTTGATAAAAAGACTTCAAGAAGTCAGTGGTAGTGAGAGAAGTTTGGAATTGATGAAAAAAATAATTGAATAAATTTTGATAAAAAAGTTTCAACAAGACTTTCAACAAGACTTCATTTAAACTGGGGATCGGCATATTACATGATATATAGGTCTTATTCTTTGTGGGTAGGCTCCTCACTATAGTTTCAGTAGAAGTAAATATTTCCGTTTACTTATAGAGCTGATTGAAGGATTCATAACTCTGATTGGATAATGAGATAGATAGAAAGATAGATGTTACCGCCATACTATTTCTATTGGTTCAGAATAGACAACAAACACGTGACTGAACCCTGATTGGATCAGGCGCTAATGGACTCGGCATACAGGAGTGTCCTGTTAAAGCTTTCCTACATCTTGACATATTCTCTATATAATAAAGCTCTTTGCTAATAAATATATTTGTATGTACATATGTTAGCTATAGCTGGCCAAACAGCTGGACCAACTTGACTGACATTTTTAGAGGGAACCCATAGGTACCCCGGGGGTAACACAGCCTATAGAAAATTATATTTTTTTCAGAAATCGCAAATTTTTTATTTTCAAATATTTTTTTCTGCTAAATTCCACGGGCAACGCCGGGCACTATAGTAAATAACGAAATGTCTGATTCCGAAAACATCAAAAGAAAAGATAAAATTAAATAACATAAATTATATTTCAATTAAAAAATTTTAATTATAAATAATTATAGTTTTAAGCTTCATAATACTGGGTCCAAGTTCTCAAATCTTCAATACCTAAAATATTGATAAAAATTGATAAATTAATAAAAAAGGAATTACGTACATATTGTGTAAATTTTTGTATGAATTGGATAAACAAATTAATTTATTGGATTGATAAATGCATGAATTAGATGAAAAATGCATGAATTAAAAGAAAAAATGCATGAATTAAAAGAATAAATGCATGAATTAAAAGAATAAATGCATGAATTAAAAGAATAAATGCATGAATTAAAAGAAAAAATGCATGAATTAAAAGAATAAATGCATAAATTAAAAGAATAAATGCATGAATTTGAAGAATAAATGCATGAACAATATAAATAAAAACATGAATTTATTGAATAAATTCATAAATTAAAAGAATAATTCATAGATCAGATGAATAAATGCACGGATTTTATGAATCATTGATTTAATTGTTAAATGAAGTGGTACCCATAAAAATTTCATGTTATTATGTTTAATGAAATGGGAGTGTTTTTTAGTGTAAGCTTACAGTGTACAATTGCTTCATGTTTAAATGACTAAATCAAATTATAACTTGAGCCTAACTGTCGTCTTCCTATTCCTCAATTATATGGATCCCACTGTACTAGTCCTGACTGTTTGATAAGTATGCCTGCCTACCTCTCTACTGCCTGGGCTCACAAACGGTCGGCTTCTTATGATGGCAGGCCACGTCATGCCATTTGATTCCATCAGCGTAGAAATTATTCAAGATACCCAGACAAACCTATACAAAGGAATTGAGTCTTTGACACAAACTTAGATGTTCTATTTCTTTGCAACCCAATGTCGTAGATCTGAGATATTTCAAACTTTGTATTCTGATGGATCAAGTAGTTTAAGTTTGAAGTATTAAAGGTTTATATTATTGTAGGTTGTTGTGATATAAGGATTATAAAATTTGATTTTGTGGAAAAGACTTATAATAATAAAAAATTCTTGAATAATAAATATCGCTTAATCAATCTTTAAAGGAGAGGTCGTCAAAAGGAGAAAAAACGATAAATAATTAATTTCTTTTCAAAAAGAGAATTTTATTCTAAGTGAAATAAAAAATATCTCATTCATTCCTGATAAGACTTGAAATTAAGTCAAAATTCCATTAAATTAATTAGTTTTCTAACCTCAGGTGTGGAAGGCACCTCACCAGCAGCTCTGTTATCAGGCTGGGGTAGACCGGCTCTTCAATTAAAAAAAAATAGTTTTTTTCTCAAAATTTCAAAAAAAAATTAAAGTTTTTTTATTTAGAATTAAAAAAACATGATAATATTTATAAATGTTTGGTGAGAATCAAAAAAGTTTCGTCTTAACAAGTTGAAAATATTTTTTTATGTCCATAAGTATTTTTAATCAAGAAATTAGTCTTATTTCAATATTATAATAATATTATTATTATGTTATTATATAATGGGGTACACAGGCTCAACAATTTAAATAGAAAAACATAATTTTTGTCTCAAAATTCAAAATTATCTTTTTTATTGAAAATTTGAAAAACTTGATAGTATTAAAATTATTTGATTTGAAAAACATTTGGTTGGAAACCTTTCCTCTAAAATCAAATAAAAAAAATATTATTTTTCTCTTTTTTTTAAATTCCATGAGAATTTTGATTAAGTAATTTTAAATAACGATAATATTAATTTATTTTATGTTAACTATAACATTCAGATGGAAATATAATTCAATAATAATAATATTAATTTTCTTTTAAAACTATTATACAGTCCATGAAAATTTTTGATCGAAATTTTGTATGTTAATGAAAATATTGATTTAATATTATCATTTGGTGAACAGGTAGACCGGCATTTAAATCAAATTACAAAATATTAACAATAATAATAACAAAAATAATAATAATAATAATAGTAATATTTACCCTCCAGTATTGGACCAATGAGCACTCTGTGAGAAGGGTATGGGGGTTCCTGAAGGATTATTCCAGAAAACTGTTTTCTGGGCGTGATCTACTATTCCACCTGCAATCGATCAATCAATAAATCAATGATTTAATCAATCAATCAATCAATTATTAAAAAAACATTCAAACAATCATTTTATCAATCAATCAACCAACCAGTCAATTAATCGATGAATCAATAAATCAATCAATCATATAAGCAATTATCCAATCAATTAACAAATGATTTAATAATCAATCAATCAGAGGATCTAAGATTTATTTTTGTATTTTATTAAATCGTTGAAGCGGAACAACAAAGTTTTAAAGAATAAATTTAAATTACAAGAAATCAATCAAGAAATCAATCAAGAAATAAACGTAAAATGTAATTTCCTAAAAAATGAAAATAAATAAAAATAGAAATTAGATAAAACAAATATTTGTTTCATGTTCGATCTGAATTGATTTGTCTTGATTTGGTTTGATCTGGATTGATCTGTATTGATCTGGTTTGATTTGGATTTATCTGTATTGCTCTGGTTTGATCTGGATTGATCTGTATTGATCTGTATTGATCTGGTTTGATCTGTATTGATCTGGTTTGATCTGGTTTGATCTGGTTTGATCTGTATTGATCTGTATTGATCTGGTTTGATCTGGATTGATCTGGTTCGATCATGATTACCTGTCCAGAAGAATCGTTGGGCATCTTGAGCGATCAATCTATTGAATTCATCCTAAACATCATTGATAATTATTTTAAAACTTTTTTAATAGATTTAAAATCCAATAACAAACCAGATTTAGCATACCAGATTGAACATACCAGATTTAACATACCAGATTTGACATACCAGATTGAACACACCAGATTTAACATACCAGATTTAACATACCAGATTTGACATACCAGATTGAACACACCAGATTTAACATACCAGATTTAACATACCAGATTTAACACACCAGATTTAACATACAAGATATTGGATACCAGATACCGTGGATACCAGAGGGAAGATACTATATATCAGATATTAGTTACTAGAATCCATGGATACCATAGATATCACATACCCGTTTTAAGATACCAAATACCAGTTCCCAGATACCAGACACGAATTCCAAAATGCCAGACTCCAGAGCCCAGATACCAAAGATACTAGATACCATGCAGGATACATGAGCTAAACTATAAGAACAAGGAACCAAGAACCAAGAACATGGAACCAGGAACAAATTAAACTAAGATCCTGGTTCCAGAAACCACGAACGAAACAAAAACTAAAAATCAGAAACCAGGATCCAAGTACCTGGAACCAGGATCCAAGAACCTGAATCCAGGATACAAGAACAAGGAACCAGGAAAACTAAGAAAGTGTTCTCCTACCTGCTTCTCAGGAGAATCCAGAGACACTGCTTCCATCCCCATAGAGTTACAGTATTCCTTAGCATCAGATTGTTGGAAGGAGGAACAGCCAAACTTCCAGGTTACAACATATCTATAATATTCATTATAACAACATATCTATAATATTCCTTATAGCAACATATCTATAATATTCCTTATAACAACATATCTATAATATTCCTTATAACAACAAATCTATAATATTCCTTATAACAACATATCTATAATATTCCTAATAACAACATATCTATAATATTCCTTATAACAACATATCTAGATAATATTCCTTATAACTACATATTTATAATATTCCTTATAACAACATATCTATAATATTCATTATAACAACATATCTAGATAATATTCCTTACAACAACATATCTAGATAATATTCCTTATAACAATATATCTATAATATTCCTTTTAACAACATATCTATAATATTCCTTATAGCAACTTAATTATAATATTTCTTTAAATAACACATCTATAATATTCCTTATAACAACTTAATTATAATATTTCTTTAAACAACACATCTATTATATTCCTTATAACAACTTAATTTTAATATTTATTTAAACAACACATCTATTATATTCCTTATAACAACTTAATTTTAATATTTCTTTAAACAACACATCTATTATATTCCTTATAACAACTTAATTATAATATTTCTTTAAACAACACATCTATAATATTCCTTATAACAACTTAATTATAATATTTCTTTAAACAACACATCTATAATATTCCAGGCAAAATTGAAAAAAATATTTTATAAAATAAGTTTGGAAAAGGAAGAATATTGTTAGAATTGATTAATGATTTTGAATAGTCCAATAAACATGAAGTACAGCAATTATTTAGATTCTCATTTCAATCTAACAAGTCTCAAATACTGATAAGAATGATTAAATGTTCTAATAGTTACCCTCTCTGAACTCCATCCCTAGGATCCCTCCAGAAATGATTAGGAGCCTGGGCTGCACACAAGCTAGTTCCACCTAGTAGAGCAAAACATGATGAATAAAAAATTAAAAACTACTCGGAAAGGATAAAACTTCAGAGACGATTGTACGGAAGCTTTACCGTCTGTTACCTTATATTAATGGTTCCTTGCAAGTTGAAACAGTAAATTTTTTTTTGCCAAATCATTAAACACACCATTTAACAGCTATACCCAAGGCAGTAGAATTAATTCAACCTGGAATCATTATATTTAAAAAGTTTTAGGTAGTCTTTTCAGTCTCATCCTTTTTGGGTATCAAATATCAATCAAATAGTTTTCTTAACATTTTTAATTGATTTCAAACCTGTAACTCGTTGCTGCTGAGGTTGGGAGCTTTGACTCACAGATGCGGTCTGGGGTCTAAAATAATTTGTATTATATATTTCAGTCAACAAAAGCTCTTAAAATTGACATGCCCGACAAAACGCGATATTCTTGTTTTCCTCTCTAAAATGGATTATTTCTTAATTTTGATTTTCTAGTAAGATCAGGATTTTAGTAGTTTTAACTCGAAAGGAGAATGACAACATTTATGTGTTTAAAAGATAGAAAAAACAGCAATATCTCCCTCATTGTTACTCAGATAAATGTTAAAAAGGCACTGTTGTGACTAGAGCATGAAACTATTAAAATCACGGATTACTTTATTTTTAATTAGACCCTATAATGTTACACAACTTTTAAAGTTTTGTAAATCCTTCAAATCTTGATTATCCTTTTTTTATTGGTAAAATGCAAGATCACTTGAAATTACTGGAATAGTTCCTTAAGTTTTGTTTTTTGTATACTTTGTAATATTTTACCTGAAAGCTGGAGCCTGGGGTTGAGGTTGTGCTTGAAACTGCTGTTGTGGCTGGAACTGCTGTGCCTGGGGTTGGAATTGCTGCTGTTGGAATTGTTGTTGCGGTTGAGGTTGGAACTCCTGCTGTTGAGGCTGGAACTGTTGTTGGAACTGAGGTGGAGGTCTTCTAGCAGGTTGAGGTTGAGGTGGAGGCCTGCTGTTGCTGTTGCTTGCACCGAAGAGGTTGCCAAATGCTCCCTGGATTCCGGAGAAGAATCCCCCCTGCTGTAATATTCATTTATTTTACCATGTACTTTGTACTTTTTACCATGTACTTTGTACTTTTTACAATATACTTTGTACTTTTTACCATATACTTTGTACTTTTTACAATGTACTTTGTAGTTTTATCTTGTACTTTGTACTTTTTACCATGTAATGTGTACTTTTCACCATGTACTGTCTACATTTTCGTAGATTTTAAACTTTTACCATTTTTTCAATTAACCTTTTTTGCCATGTACTCAAAAGTTAATTGGTCTATGTGTAATTTTATTTATGAATTTTGATTAATTGTTTTTCAATTGATATCCGAATATAATCAATATTCATTAATAATTAAAGTCAATCAATCAATCAATCAATCAATCAATCAATCAATCAATCAATTAATCAATCAATGAATCTATCAATGATTCAATCAATTAATCAATTAATCAATCAATCAATCAATCGATCGATCAATCAAAAAATCAATTAATCGATCAATTAATAAATCAATCAATCTATATTTTTATCTATGTCTCAATCTATCTATCTATCTATTTATTAATTAATCAACTAATCACCTGTGGGTTGCAGATTGCCAATGATACGCACGAAGCCAAGATTAAAATCCTCATTCTAAAGTATTTATTAGATTCAACAAAAGTCGATGATGATCATGGATCCCCCGTCGATCAAATTGATCCCCCTCCGATCAAAGGGTGAAACTAAATCAACATTGAACATTACTGAATAATTTGATGATTTTGGTGAAAGAATTTTCTTGGATTTAAAACGAAAAGACAGTCAAGGGTGCTAGCTCGGGAAAAGAAGGAAACCCCAAGCAAAATTTACTTTGTACTGTTTACAGAGATGGCTGTACTTTCTGTACATTTACTTTGTACTGTTTACAGAGATGGCTGTACTTTCTGTACATTTACTTTAAGGAAATGTTTTATTTTTTTTTCTGATAACATCTAAGACTGTATTTTATGCGTTAAATTGTTAATATGACAATTTAATAAATCGTAAAATCTAACTTTATCATTTCCGTAATTCCGGTCTGGACCAGATTTTATTATCCCATGAATTCTACCGGATATTGAACCGGATGTTGAACCGGATATTGAACCGGATGTTACTATCAATACAAAATGGGTTTTAATCAAATCTAAGTTTTGAATAAATTGCCTAATGAAACTGTAAAGAAAAATAACTGCAAATGATTTTGTCTTTTTTCAAATAGTTTAGTTTTCATCGCTTAAAAAGACATTTCTCAAAAATCTAAATAATTAAAAAAATTCTAAATAATTTTTTTGGCTTCACTGACTCTTTCAAATGTGTAACCTATGTAATTTCTAAAATCATACTTTTCTAAACATTGATTCCTTTCGTAATTTGAAACAATATAAAATATTTCGCAAAATGTTTTTAAAGTAAACTTTTTGAAGTTAAAATTTGAAAAATTGAATTGTCCCATTTAAACATTTTTGAATATTTTAAATACCCTACCTTGTATATGGTTTGAGTTAGACTGGCGCCAGAAGATAGCCAATATTTAGCGCCGGCGCTTAGATTTATATTCCTTAAAATCTAGCCAACCAGAACTATCTGGAAAGAACTGATGCTTATTATTGCTTTGAAAAATGATTTAGAATTATGTAGAAAATATTAAGCCTAGAACTGTCGTTCTATCTATCTATCTAATTATCTATGAAACCTAGTGTTCTGTCCTTGGGCCAGCGGTAGATAGGAGATAGAAGGACCATTCTTGGGTTTGAGGGAGAAATCCGGGATTAAAAGAGATAGATAGATAGATATATAGATAGATTGAAAGATAGATGGATAGATAGATAAATATATCGATATATTGATAGGTTTATAGATAAATGGATTGATAGATAGATATATCGATATATTGATAGGTTTATAGATAAATGGATTGATAGATAGATATATAGATTTATATATAGATACATATACAGGTATAAGATGAAAAGTTTGTAGGTTGGACACAACCATCCAATGGACAAAAATATTGATAATCAGACAGCATATGATTGAAGAAAGATGGCTCTCCGTTGGGATGTAAATTGGAGACTAAAAAATTATTGATTTAAGTCCGAAGCAGCAGTAGGAACGATGATTATTTAGATTTTCAACTGTATAATACAGCCAGTGCATGTTTTGAGTACCGGGAAAATTCTACCCTACTGGATTTTCCTCAGTTTTGAGATGCGTTGATTTTATTTCTGCAGGGTTCTGCAGAGCTCAGCAGCAGTTCGTGATTTGAATATATTTCTGGAAAACAAACGATGCTGCAGAGCAATGCAGTTCCTAGTTGTAATATATTCCTGGAATATACGGGATCCTGCAGAGGCAGAGCGGTTCCTGAAAAGAATAGATTCCTGGAAAAGACAGAATGCTGCAGAGCAGAGCAGTTCCTGGATAGATTAGATTCCTGGCAAAGACGGGATGCTGCAGATCAGAGCAGTTCCTGGATAGAATAGATTCCTGGAAAAGACAGAATGCTGCATATCAGAGCAGTTCCTGGATAGAATAGATTCCTGGAAAAGACAGGATGTTGCAGAGCAGAGCAGTTCCTGAATAGAATGGATTTATGAAAAAGACAGGATGCTGCAGAGCAGAGCAGTTCCTGGATAGAATAGATTCTGGGAAAAGACGGGATGCTGCAGAGCAGAGCAGTTCCTGGATAGAATAGATTCCTGGAAAAGACGGGATGCTGCAGAGCAGAGCAGTTCCTGGATAGAATAGATTCCTGGAAAAGACAGGATACTGCAGAGCAGAGCAGTTCCTGGAAAGAATAGATTCCTGGAAAAGACAGAATACTGCAGAGCAGAGCAGTTCCTGGATAGAATAGATTCCTGGAAAAGACAGAATACTGCATTTATGTCACGAGATGCAAATACTTCATGGTTTTATGTCTTATATAAAATCTGTCAACTTTGATTTTCGAATCAATATAATTTTTATTTATTTCATGCATTTTGTAAATAAAATAGTCCCGGGTTACCTAGTTAGAATGCAGATCAGACGGATGAGTTTGATCTTATTATTTGTAATTGTGTCCATGATAAAGAAAATTAGTTCTTACCACAAACTATGATATTCTATCCAATTTCTGCAACCCGATGTTGCAGACCTTTAATATTTCAATTATGTAGATTCTGTAGTATTAAATTATCTTACTTTGAAATATCAAAGATAAATAGAGACATCCAACCAGATAGATAGATCAAGCTTTGACTTCCGATCTTATATCAGTATATGTATCTATATATAAATAATATATCTACCTATGTTTCTATCTATATAACGTGCCTACTAGATAGATACATAGATATAAAAATATAGATAAATAGATAGATAATAGGTAGAGTGGAAGTTAGATACAGGAAGTATATATAATATAGCTAGGTTTTCAATATTAAACTAGGTAGAAATTTAGAAAGGTAGAAAGGTAGAAAGGTAGAAAGGTAGAAAGGTAGAAAGGTAGAAAGGTAGAAAGGTAGAAAGGTAGCAAGGTTGAAAGATAGAAAGGTAGAAAGGTAGGAAGGTAGAGAGTAGAAAGGTAGAAAGGTAGAAAGTTAGAAAGGTAGAAAGGTAGAAAGGTAGAAAGGTAGAAAGGTAGAAAGGTAGAAAGGTAGAAAGGTAAAAAGGTAAAAATGTAGAAGTAAAGAGGTATAAACGTAAGTAGGGAGATATAGAGGTAAAAACGGAGGTATAGCGGTATTGAGGTATAAACGGAAGTATATAGGTATAAACGGAAGTATAGAGGTATAAACGGAAGTATAGAGGTATAAACGGAAGTATAAACGGAAGTATAGAGGTATAAACGGAAGTATAGAGGTATTACTGGGAGCGCAATATATGTTTTTTTAAAATTTAAAACCAACTTTTTTGCTGAGAGAAGTTTTAAATTCAAGTTAATGTAAATATCTAAAATCAAAGAATTGAAAGGATGTTACGCATGAAATAGCAGTAATGCAAATAACTGTTATATTCTCATTGATTATATATATTAGGATTGAATGCAGATTAAAAAGCAAATAGTTTTTAAAAGATCAAAATAAATATTTTTATTTGAGTAAGCTATCCAGCTCCTTAGAAATAAATATGTTTGAAAAAAATGAAAAATTCTTTGTTTATATTTTTGTTTTTATATCTTTTTATATTTTTATATTGATATTTTTGCCGAATTTGTAGTGTACTTGTCTTTAATATGTAGTGTACTTGTCTTTAAAAAGTTCTTTTCTTTTTTAAAATTGACCGAACACAATGGATGATGCACAAACAAGAAGAAAATCCAGATTTGGAAAAAGAGATTTTAAAATGCCTCCAGTTGCCATCATCTATTTATTTATAGAATTCGGTTAAAATTAATATAAAAAAAATAAATATGTGAAAAACAGCACAACTCTAACAGTATGTACAACTCTAACAGCATGTACAACTCTAACAGTATGTACAACTCTAACAGCATGTACAACTCTAACAGCATACACAACTCTAACAGCATGCACAACTCTAGCAGCATGCACAACTCTAACAGCATGCACAACTCTAGCAGTATGCACAACTCTAACTGCAGCATGTACAACTCTAACAGCATGTAAAACTCTAACAGCATGCACAACTCTAACAGCATGCACAACTCTAGCAGTATGCACAACTCTAACTGCATGCTCAACTCTAACAGCATACACAACTCTAACAGCATGCACAACTCTAACAGCATGCACAACTCTAGCAGCATGCACAACTCTAATAGTATGCACAACTCTAACAGCATGCACAACTCTAACAGTATGCACAACTCTAACAGTATGCACAACTCTAACAGTATGCACAACTCTAATAGTATGCACAACTCTAACGGTATGCACAACTCTAACAGCATACACAACTCTAATAGTATGCTCATCTCTAGCAGTATGCACAACTCTAGCAGCATGCACAACTCTAGCAGTATGAACAACTCTAGCAGTATGTACAACTCTAACAGCATGCACAATTCTAGCAGTATGCACAACTCTAACAGTATGCACAACTCTAGCAGCATGCACAACTCTAGCAGTATGCACAACTCTAGCAGCATGCACAACTCTAACAGTTTGCACAATTTAGCAGCATGCACAACTTTAACAGCATGCTCATCTCTAGCAGCATGTACAACTCTAGCAGCATGTACAACTCTAACAGCATGTAAAACTCTAACAGCATGCACAACTCTAACAGCATGCACAACTCTAACAGCATGCACAACTCTAATAGTAGGCACAACTCTATCAGCATGGATGATAAAGTACAGAGCACATTTGTAAATGTATTAATTACATGAATGGTTGAACACAGATCCTTGTCATTTTAAAGTTATTTTATTTAATATTTAGTTTACGCGCCAAAACATTTTATTGTATAGTCATAAGTCATAATCAGTTGAAAATAAATATTCTAACTTTTAGGACAGCTGCATGGGATTACACAGATTAAGGGACTGAAGTGGACAAAAAGAACTAATCGTAAAATTATAAATTGCTGTTGACCATAAGGGATTATCAGATAACGGGGATTATCAGTAACTGATGGGCATGAGATCCATTTTTAAACATTTCAACTTTTTAGAGTTTCCAGAGGCATTTCAAGAGTTTAAGAGTTCAACATTGCATGCTTGATTATTTTCATTATGTTATGCAACATTTTCACTCTTACCAATTTATGTTCACCAAAAAGATTACAAAGATCGTTTCGAACAAGGTTATAATGCAAGTAAAGTTATTTCAGAGGTGTACGCATCTTTTGTACTGCAGTGTACTGTCTCAAGGCGGTAATGTAAACACAAGAGGGATGTCACAGCCTGACATGGGATTCATCTTTCACTCAAAAAATCAATGAAATATTTTGGTCAAAGGAAACTATAATGTGAATTATCAAAATTATCAAAATCAAATGCTTTTATCCTCCATGGATAGTAAACAAACACTGATGCATCCATTCTTGTTTGCAAATTCCGCCCAGAGTATACGCAACTGCAATTAACTTTCCTTGCATTATAACCTTGGCTTTGAAATATCGTTTAGGTTGATTTCTTTGATCAGAGAACAAAAACTTTGCATGATGTAATATAAGAAATCTTATCGACAATACTATTTTTCAATGGCATAAATTCACATTCTTGTGGAGCATTTATAATGTCAAAAATCCCGAAAGGCTTGAAGGTAACAAACTCCAAAAAATGCAGAAAAGTAAAAGGTGTCTGTGAAGCTGTTCGCCCATTAAACTTCGTTTTCTTTTTGTGCGAGAAAGGGCTGTTTTCAATGTTAGTAAATGAGAGGGGGGGGGTTGTTTATGAAATATTTTGCTCTGAAATGCCGCTTTAATCTTCAAAATGTACTAGAAATGTACATGTTCCTTTTCAAAAAGTTTAAAAATACATAATTCTATGTCATTTATTTTAAAAAATCCTAAATTATAAAAAATACGAAGTTATTCCATTTTCTGAATAAAACGGCAAAATTTATATTTGAAAAAAAGACCGAGCACATATCAGGACTACCTTTTAAG